ATCCTCCCATTCAGGATCAGCTAATAGAGCAGCAGCAGTACGGAATCGACCAGCGCCTCTACCCTCTTTGTACTTATTACCGCCCTTAAGCTTAATTATCTTTTGTATGTGTATAGGGATACGCTCAATTAACGCCTGAATCTTTTCCTAAGGCAACTCCTTCTAACACTGCTCCTATGCCTGAATAGCTTCTGCTCTGCTCTTTGGCGCGCCCTTCCTCGTGGTTCTGTAACAGGCTGAGCCTATTACATGCGCTACGCTGTGTGCGTAGCTGTCGTCATGCGATTCCTTCGAGATACATCTATAGGTTTCTGTCATCATCCATCTAATTCTACTTCGGCCCATCTTCGGTCCGCTCCTGTATTTATGTACAGCTAGCATCCTTTTGTAGCTCTTTGTCAAATCCACTCTGTTACAAGGCATCTCTTGATCAGTCATCTGTGTATCGTCATCGATACAGCCGCTGGGGTCTAGCCCCTTACAGGTTCTTCTCTTCATCTATGGCTAGCATGGCTTAATTGTGTTTAAGTCTAGCGAATTACCTAGCTAAAGAAGCTTCGTAATACTGTGTAGATTATATATTAGCTACTAAGCGTGGTGCTTATGTGATAGAGCTTTGTCTTCCTGTACAATTGTTCCTAGCTGAGTGCTTTTATACTGCTGCGCAAAGGGCAGTAGCTTTAGTTAAAGAATTGTTTTTTAATAGCGATACTAATTAATGCTAAAACCTCTACTACAAGCTAGCTTGCTATTCTTCTAATTCTATCGCTACTAAGGCTTTCGGCTAGGTATTGCTCGTAGATTAAGTCAACGCATACTATTATTAAGCTCCTATTGCTCTTTTATTAGCGGCTTGAAGCTCTTATTCATCTCCTCTATCTCTTTATTAGCCTTTTCTTTGTCTTTCATTGTCTTAGGCATCTAGCAATAGCATAGCCCCTTCTTATTATAGGCAGAGAAGTCAACAAACAAAACAACCAACATTTGAGGCGTAGATGTTGATTGACTGGCTCATTTCTTAGGGCTACAGTTTGTTTGTTTGAGTTGATGAGACTGAAGAGCCAATTTTTGGTTGGTTGATTGATTGAATATTGATAGACTTAAGGTTCTGAAGGGACGTTTCTATGACAATTCTGCAGGCGGCTCTTCCCACGTTCCTATCGCAAACTCTTCCGTGAGCTCCTCATCAGTATGCTTTGCTGCTGTTGTCGTGCTTGGTGTTGTAAAACCTGCACGAGTCCACCGTTGCAAGCACACCAAAGCAGCCAGTAACTGCGCGCCAATTTTCCGCCTTTGTGGCTCAATTATATCGCCAGTTCCCGCAAAAACGCGCTCACAATCAGAGCTGGAGGCGGGTATAGTCAACACGTCGATCGCCAATCGTGAAAGATGTGGATACTTCGGCTTCAACGATAACCAGTACTGTACAGCTGTTGGACCCTCCTTGTGTTGATCAGACGTCCACATAGGCTCTTTTAACCAGCTATCGTACTCATCCTCCACCTCCAATGTATGCTCGCCGTCCTCATCTAGTATAGCGTCGATAGCGTCGTCAAAGCTGCTCATGGTAGGTTTTGGCGCAGGGGTTGGTGTTGTGGCAGCAGCGGCAGGCTTGTAGGCAGCCCAAACCCGCAGAAACTTCGCGTGCGCGGTGCTCAATTGTGTAGGTTTGTCGCGCCAGAAGCGCTTAGAGTATGTTTTATATCGTGGATGTAGTGCCGTAGCTGCGTAGTAAATGGGACTTTGGAGGATCTTAGTAAAGTAATTGCTCGCTTTTCGCCTCGCGGCTCGCAGGTTGATCGGGATGTGATCTTCGGGCGCCTCAGATGGCTCGTGGTTGACCGATTCGTATGGCCGAAGGCGTGCATCCAGCTCAGTTATCACACTCTCAAATACTGGGATGACCTCGTAGAGTGCGCCAAAACGGCCACACTTGCCGCGGCCTTGGAGGCGATCTGTAGCAAACTTGAGCGGCTGCAGTATCGCCATGTACTCAGTAATCACCGCCCAGTCAGCCGCCGTAAGGCCGTCTGACCTCATCCACCGCGGCACATCAGGCAGCTTGTTTCCTCTAATAGCTGCCTGTTCGTCAGCCTGTTCAGTCTCGCGAATGTGGTACGTGGCGTATGCGTTGATAGCTTGTTGGAGCTGAACTCCGCGCTTAAAGCAGTCGTAATAGCTGTTCCAACGTGTAACACACGGCTTAATTGGCTCGCGAGTGCCGCCGCTGGCGCCTGTGGGCATGCTGTTAACTGCCTCGCGTTGGCAATCTTCAAAAATACTCCACTGCTTCGGCGTGTTGATGTAGTTGATAATATCAAGATACACGCCAAGCGGTCCTTCTTTCCGCCACTCCTTCATGTAAAAATCCTCCATCTTTGTGTTCTCCAGGGCGTTGTTATACGCGTCAGCATCCCTCCCGAACATAATCGTTTGGCCAACAAGGTTAAGTATGTGGCAAGCGCAGCGGAGGCGGCGATCGGAGGCAGAAAAGTGGTACATCGCGGCGAGTTTGTTAACAGCGGTGTCGTTATTGTAAGCGTTATCGAGCACAAAGTAGCCGAGTTTGCTGCGATTAATGCTGAAGGATTGCAGGATTTTGGTTACAGCGTCAGCTATCGCCTCACCAGTGTGGGCACCCACCAGCTGCGGCAGCGCGATGGGTAGGTCAACTATCGCGCCCTTACTGTTGGCGTAGTGAGCAACTACAGAAAAGAAGCCACGTTTGCCGCCTTTTGTCGTCCACCCATCGAAGCTTATATGTACCTTGCTCTCGGCTTCAGCCAACGCGCGCACCACCTGAGGCCGTAGCCAACTGTACAACCTCATCACGAACGCTGACACGCTGTTATGAGACCTCCATAACGCCGCCTCTGCCTCAGGATTAGCAAGCCTGATCATCTTGCGAAAAGCCGGCGTCTCAAACTCGCGGAGTGGTCTGTTGTTGTCGACCAGCCAGAGCGCAGCTGCCTGCCGAAATTCTTGTACGTCGAAGTTTCCTATAGTCTTGTACGCCTCTAGACTAAATTTGACACCGCTTAGAGCTGCCTGACGAAGTGATTGTTGTCCATGTTTGCGGAGAGGTTTGCTTAGGATTGGACCATCTTTGCTGAGCCGATGACCAGGTTTATCAAGCTGGAGGTGCCCGTTGGCGGCAGTGGTTGACTTCGTTACTCGGTGTACACCATTAGGTAGCTTATGAATATGACAGTACTTGCACACAAAGTACAACTCATCTGGGTGGTGAGTACCCTCCTTCCAGACACGCCAGCCGTGTTGAAAAATCCAGCTTGCCTTGCCTCGTGGAGTGCTCAGCGGCGCGACAAACCCCTTTAATCGCGACCAATCGACGCCCTCAAAGTCGCGAAAATCGACGCTCACAGCGCTATCCTCCTCCACCGAAGCCTCAGTGGCAGCGCTAGAGAAAGCTAAAGGCTGTACAATAGAGTCCTCTGGCTTATCAAACATTAACTGCGACTCCCAGGCTGGCTCATCAGTGAGCCGAGAGGCTTGTGAGGCAGCCAAAATAGGCAGTGGTGATGCCCGCCGAGGGCGCTCCTCGGGTTGTTGTACAGGCTTACATGGCGGTTCAATAGCCCGTGTGGGCGGCTCGATAACTTGTGTAGGCGGCTCTGTAGGCGGATCCGGCGTACTTTCTGGCAGCTCTATCGGCTGGGTTGGCTGGCTGCCGTCACCCAACAGCGCTTTGAGCGTAGGTTTGCGCGTACGTTGTGCTCGCTTGAAGGGAGTATCAGCTTCTTCGGCAGCCTCGGGCTTGCGTTTTGCTGGTATAGAGGGCATGGATAAGGCTAAAAGTAAGCCGGAGCCGCGAGAAAGTAAGGTGTTGTTAAATGTTATAAGCCTGATGTCAGTAGCACTAGGAATAGAACATGTGTGAATCGTGTTGTGTATTGTGCTACAGGAATTGAGATCTATGTCTCTGCCAGCTAGCGTTGTGGGCGCTAAGCCTCGTACGTACTAGCCTGGAGTGAGTGAGAGATGGGATGGAACCTAGGTCATATAACTTACACGCGAGTAGGCTTAGTAAGCAAGATCCAACACTAAGAATTCGTCGTTGAGCAGCTATCCCAGAGGCCTCACCTAGGTATCCCCCTCCCTCGCTTACTATCAAACAACACCAATCCTATCAACATTTTGTTCTCAAGATTGGTTGATTGATTGACAGAAATACAGTGGCTAACTGTTGGTTAGTTGGTTGGCTCCGAATCAAACAAATCAAACAACAATATTGATGAGATATTGATTACTGACAACCTTGATTATAGGAGAAATAAGCCTAGAACATAAACTTAGAATAGCCTTTCTAACGCTCTCGAATACAGCTTCGTATAAAAGCTTTATTAGCCTTACGCCACACACGATAGCCACCTCGTTGATAGAGTAATACCACTGTCGGAACATGCGCGTACAGCCAGCCCGGCGAGTTTTTCCGGGCCGGAAGCTTGGACCACTAGTTAGACCAAGCTTCCCGCTTAGCTCGCAACCGTACATATGGAGATCTCTCCATCCAGCTCTTGCTCACTACTAATCAAATACTATACACTTTGTTCGTTGCAACGACTGCTAGTATTCGACACCTTTGCCGTGTCAACAACCACACTCGTTTCGTCTAACTAAACTACATTCTTCTAGTCTTTAAGAGTCTAGTCTCTATGCTCTAAACACTACTTAAGTCGATCGTCCCGTATCTGCTTTGTTAACCTAGGCTTCCTTGTCGGTTTCGTCTTTCTAAACCTAGCTTTCTTAAGAATAAGATAAATAGTGCTTGCTAAGACTTCAATCCCTTTCTCTCTAAGTATACCAGCAATGTTAGTACATAATTTCTCCCTTCTATAGCGATTACGGCGTACTGTAAGCACTACAGCAGAAGACGTATCCGCAGTCTGCTTTGACGGACGGCTAGATCGAGGTGCATCTTTTACATGCTCGTCCTGAAGGTTAACTGGACGTTCCGCTAGATTAAATCTACGCTTAATCGCTTAGGCGTATATCTTGTTAAGCGTACGCTTCTCTATACTTGTTAAGTCGGTTATCTTGCCGTTGCCTTTACCTGTTGCTTTAAGAGAAATAACAAGAGCACGAGTCGCAGCACTGTAATTTATTATAAGGCTTAGATTTAATAAAAAGCGTTAGGTAGTTTGTCAAAAGTGATCGCTTTGTGATGTGAGCAGAGGCCGCGTACAATCGGAGCAACTACCGAATTTGGAATAGTGTTTATAGCCCTCTGACAAGGGGGGGGGGCCCAAACTTTTGACAGGCACCTCCGTATAGGCTTGCCATTGCCCAGAGGCAGCCTCAGTTGAATGCCTTAATCCTAAGTTCGAGTGGAACAATCATCTCCCTCATCCTCAACGTTCCCACCAACCTTGGAATGCAAACACAACAATTCGTTCTACCCATACTACCGAAATCATTGTATCTTTCTGAGGCTTCGCAATTATCTCGCCTACTTCCAAAATATCATTCTTCCCAATTACCATGGCACCTATATACAACAATCCCGCCTCCAACAACGTCCTGAAGCCAGACACGGCTATTGCACTGGCCGCATTATTCATCGCAATTCCCGGGGCGCTTGTCGCTATATACAAGTTATGGGATATACTCTCACAGCTGCTTCCAAATATGCAAGGTCCGTTACGATTCCCTTCTGGAGATGATGATGATGGGCAGAAGGAACTGAGAGCATATATGAGTCGACCAATCAACAAGCGGACACGGGCAAGTACGTACCAGTACTTTCTGATACCAATCACTGGCTGCGCAAAACCAAGCCCACCTGGGCTGAGGCTACATTCTGACTAGTGCTGTGACACTGACTAGCCTTATATGAATGAACCCCACTTATCTCTTCGGCGGCCGCTGCTGCCTACCTATCTTCCTAAAACTTCTGAAGCCCATCTAACATCTCCACGCCAGGTCATCTCTGGGCCTGCTTGCTTCGCATCCCTTTTCTACACCCTCGAAGACGACATACACCCATTCGACACCCGGTTCCAATCGATGCCGACAATCTGACCTGGTTCAGCGATCATTACCGGGAATTAGTGGACGACATAGCTGTAGAACGGCAACGATGGGCGGAAGAGATGTCTAGTTCGGAAACTTCTTTTGGTATCGAGATGACTGCTTTCCCGTCGCATCCTACATAAGTGTTCGTCCGAACCATATACATCGATGCATTCTGGTTGGTACAACTATGCACCGTCATGGTTATGGCTAGAGTTTCGGTGTTCCAGATACCCTGGGACGTTGTTACTCTCTTCTTTTTTTGTTGATTTTTGGTAGGCTAACTTAAATGTCGGATAAGCTTACTACGCCTTTTCTTCCGCATGTTTGGGTGGTGGCGCCATTCTGGGAACTTCTACATATCTTTGTTTTGCTTCCGCATTGCCTCGATTTCTGGGTATATACATGTACAGTCTACTCTTAGAGTGTAGAAAGAGGAAAGACATCCTAATCAAACTACCAGTATACAGTCTACAATATTCATTGCAGCATGTGATGACAGTCCGCAGGAAGTACTAAAAGCCGCAATGGTATACAAATATACCATCTTAAAGCGCAAATCCAATCTTCCGTCCCGGCCAATCCAACACCACACCCCTGCCTCTCATAGCAGCCCAACCAAGTACCACGCCTTGATCATAGGAAAATTCCGCACTCCTAACTAGAAGCACGCACCTCCCCTCTTCAGTCTGGAGAACATACTGCGCCGGTGTGACAATCAACTCATCCACCACTTCCTCGTCTTTTTCCCGCATCTCCTTCTCGCCATCAAGTCCAAACACTAGATCGGGGAAGATACTCTGTGTCGCGCAATCCACCATCAACTCCTCGCCATGTCGTCCGCTCTCTTCAGGTTTTGTAGCCAACACAAGGACGTCCCAGAGACCCTTTGGCACATGGATATACGGCCTACTTAGATCTAGTCTCGCTGACTCTGCTTCCGTGCTAATCATGCCGCCTCTTCGAGCTCCAATGTCCAGGAGGGGTATGTGATCGCCCAGCGTGTTCCACTCATCTTGCTCGAACCAGACAAAGTGGCTTGTAGACTGTGGCCATGGTTTTGATACGGGGTTGTTAAATGTGACGGATCCAGGTATGGATGCATCGAGTGGGATATTGATGGTTATAGTAGAGTGATCATTGCCTGTGGCGTGGATGATGGAGGGGTTTTGGAGATGTTCAAGGTGGGTGCGACTTGGGAGTAGGGGTGTGTCAGGGAATTTGTAATGGAGGTTCTTGTTCAGCTGTTTCATGGTTAGCTGGGAAGCATGGGTTGTTATGGGTAGCAGTGGCGTACTGTAAGTGGGATGACACGTGCAGAGGCTGGCTTAGAGTCCAACAGCGGCCTTTGTTGTAGTAGTGATGGGTCGATATATGTAGCTTGGGCCAGCACTGGCAGCGACGCAAGTAGTATGTTAAGCATGTTGGCGATGCAGTTGTGAAATTTCATTGTGTACTACAAGCAAGAAGTACCTAGGTACTTATCATGCCCAGCCGTTCCTTTGTCACCATCGCATACACTACGCCGCACTCGCAATAATCCAGGGTCTGGACCAATTGTGCCTTGGGTGACTGTGTTTTTGGGTTCGTCAATCTCGCCGTTGGGTGATCTGCCGTGGTGGCGCCTGGAGTTCTTTTGTGGTTCGTCGGCTACGATCATGCGACAGGGGTTGCGCGTGCGGCGCGGTTGCTGTGATAGCGGCGCATGCCACATGAAACTAGGTTCGGCGCGAGGACAAAGATGAGTTCCTGCGCTTGCTGAACCTCTCGAGTTGAAGTGGACTTGTGGGGCAAGAGGATTGATTGTGGGAATCGTTCTCTAGTGTCAAGCCAATCGCGGAGGGTCAAGCAACGAACTCATCAGATGTACCGTGATGCCGTGCATGATCCTGATCCCTCTCATATGCAAACCTTAGATCTGGTACCCAATGGCACTTTGTTTCGAGGCGTCTGTTTTTGCATTGCAGTGCCGGGCGCTTTAATACGGACCGCGAGACAAGTCTTTCCCCACACCCGCGGTAACATCAGTTACTCGATTCCCTTGGAGAGCGACTCTGCTATTACATATGCAGGTACTATAACAGTGGAGAGGTAGGTACAAAAGTACTTCCTAAGCACGTCCAGGAACAACGCGATTATATTGCTTGATGTCCCTGCATGGCTTGTTGCAAACTATTTCAGACACAACTCAAGTATCAGCGTGAGAATGAAACCAAGAATTTGCGTTCACTGTTGTTGTAGGACAGCGAGAAGATCCGAGTGATAGCGATAGTTCTCTTGTTGCAAAACCTGGAGCCATCTCTTATAGTATGCTAGCCGACGCTATTAATGTAGTTTTGACGTGTCTCGAGCTCACCACAACATACCGATGATTGACGTAAGCGATCGGATGCATTGAACTGAAGGTGTTTGAAGACGGTAAGCAAATGAAAATGAAACAAGCCAAGACGCTCGTCGCGCTATGACGTGAAAGCAAATAACACAGTATATGACGGAAATCCTGCAGAATCATCAGTGTATCTTATTGATTATTGTTTTTCGCTGCAGACATCAACGGACCCTAGTCTCAACGCAAACACCCAATCTCAACAGGGTGAAGTTGACACGATCCATCGTGTACCAGAGTTTTGGCGATGGGATTCTGTGTGTTGGTTCAACGCAGATTTGAGCAGAGAGAAAATGGCAGTCGGGTGATGTGTTGAGAAGGATCGATGTGTTGAGAGGCAAGACGGGGGGCGCCCCGGAAGAAGCTAACCGAGCGGATCATCTTCGCCGCCGTGGTGGTGGAAAACGGGATCTCGGATGCGACAGCTGCTACCCACCCACGCCTACCCAACACCGTGCAACTTGACAACTCGCTCAACACACAGCAGATTGTTAGAGATTATGCGGGCTGCTGCTTTTCCAATTTTCGACCTGTTAAAGAGTGGATCTTCACGGGCCGCAAGGCATGGCAGCAGCACGAGGCGGCCGACATTGCCACCGTAGCGGATGATGACAGATGAAGACAATTACAGCTCATTACAATTGCATCGCAATGCGCTCGATCGATATGGCTACAGGCTGACGTTCCATGGACCAGGCTCCCCGGATACGCCGCGTCGGCTGTCATCTCCGTTACGAAGCTCCAAGCGCTGTCTCTGTTTTCAGAGTCGCGATCGCCCCTTCACAACAGGGCAAAATGACCACGAGCGGCGAACAAGTCGTGATCTTCTCAAGGAGGCTGTGTGACGCGCAATTTCGTTTGTTGTCAAGAGCTTGTCCAGTGGTGCGCCTGCCAGTTATTGGGGATGACTGCCCCTGACCAAGGCTCGGCACGGCGTTGCTAATTCACCACTATAGACTTGGCTGCTTGGACTCCGCGAGTTCTGCACGCCCGCCAACGCCATCGACTTGGCGCACAGCCGCTCCAGACAGGTAATGAGGGTTGGCAAGTTCCACATGTAGCACTCGGGGACACCAAGACATTTGAGTGCCGATTCAAATACTTTTGCCATCCCGGCTTCTGCTTTGACATCTCAATGCTCACCGTGTGAGGTCTGCTTTTTCCACTTACTTACCAGTCACTCGTTAAGACTTTCACTTGCTGCATCTATCCGTCTTTTAATCACATCTCTTCTTCTCCGTCATCATGAAGGCCTATCTCGTGCTCTCGTTTTTGGGCGCTGTTGTCTCTCCCGCCCTTGCCAACGTTGTCGCACGTCAATCAAAGGGAAACCTGCCACCCGTCACCGTAAAGGGCAATGCCTTCTTCGCGGGAAATGACCGGTTCTACATGCGTGGTGTCGCTTACCAGCCAGGTACATTCTGTCGGCAAGGAACAGTTTAGCAAGATACTAATAATGCTATAGGAGGTGCAGCAGACGCAGCCGATCCGCTGCTTAACCTTGACAGCCTCAGACGTGATGTAGCGAACTTCAAGTCGCTCGGCATCAATACCATCCGTATCTACACCATCGACAACTCGAAGAACCACGATGAGGGTATGAAGATGCTCGACGATGCTGGCATCTACCTAGCTCTCGATGCCAACACTCCCAAGTACTCACTCAACCGTGAGACAAAGGACACTCTCCACCGCTCGTACAACGACGCGTACCTGCAGTCTGTCTTCGCCACGATTGACGCATTTGCCGATTACAGCAATCTGCTCCTCTTCTTTTCCGGAAACGAGGTCATCAACGCGAAGAACAACTCCAACGCGGCCCCCTACATCAAGGCCGTCACCCGTGACATGAAGCAGTACATCTCCAACAGGGCCAGCCGTCCTATCCCTGTCGGCTACTCCGCCGCCGACGTTTCTGAGAACATCTATCAGCAAGCCACGTACTTCAACTGCGGTACCGACGACGAGCGCAGTGACTTCTTCGCCTTCAACGACTACTCCTGGTGCGACCCGTCTGACTTCAAGAAGTCTGGTTGGGACCAGAAGGTCAAGCTGTACTCCAACTACAGCAAGCCCATCTTTCTGTCCGAGTTTGGTTGCAACACCAACACACGCGAGTGGAACGAGATTGCCGCTTTGTACTCTCAGAACATGACCAGCGTCTACTCTGGTGGCCTTGTCTACGAATACACTGTCGAGCCCAACGGTTACGGTCTTGTTGAGGTTGGCAGCGACGGCAAGATCGATACCAACGCCGACTTCGACCGACTCGCAAAGGCTTACAAGGCAACTGCCAACCCTACAGGCAACGGCGGCTTCAAGGAGCAGGGCGAAGCCTCACAGTGCCCTGCCGAGTCTGACGACTGGCAAGTCGAGGGAACCAACCTACCTGCTATCCCCGGAAAGGCGACTGAATTCATGGACAAGGGTGCTGGTACTGGTCCTGGTCTTGAGGGTGATGGATCGCACTTTTCTGGCGAACCCAGCGAGTCTACAGCTACTCCCGGTTCTGGAAGCCCCACCCGCACTCCCTCTCCCGGATCCGGTGGCAGTGGTGGCGGCGGCCAGGGTGCTGCTGCTGGTCTCGATGTGCCCCTTCGCTTCGTCGGCATGATCGCTGCGAGTGCTATCTTTGGTGCTGTGCTTCTCTTTTAGATGGAGTTATTATGGAGAGTGAAGAGTTGTGTCCGTTTGTTTGTTTGTTTGTTTGTTTGTTCCCAGAGTTTCCTTGGCCATTGTAAACCGACATAGCACATATTTGGCCCGTCATTGCAGGCGTCTTGTGGCATTCACCAAATACAAATAAATATACTTGATTCTATCCATTTCACTTTGTGATATACTTTAATACTTTATTCTACCATTTTCACTTTGTATACTTATTACTGCTCTTGGTGTGTGTTACTGGACTAAGTCTGCTTGGGAGTGTTCCGAGGCTGCACCGATTGGGTTAGCGGCGTTTGATCATCGGGTTGGGAAGGAAGCATTCCATGGAAGCTTCCATGGCCATGGTCGCGACTGCGAAAATGGACATCAAACCCAATCACCAGCCCTCGGGCTTGTATTCACATAAAGTCAATCTGCTTGGCCCGGTATCGTAAAAACTCCCGCAAATTTCCCAGGTTTCTTCTATTATCCTTCGGTCCAAGTATATACTACCCCGCCATGAACGACGCTCACAGAGCCGATGCAGCGCTCAGCGCCAGCCGTCACGACGAAGCCATCGAGCTCTACACCAAGGCCCTTTCTGTCAACCCTACCGCTGTCAAATACTACATCGGTCGCGCTACAGCTTACCAGCGTACTTCCAAGCACACAGAGTCGCTCAAGGATGCCGAAATCGCCGTGGTACTTGCGAAGAAGCGCGGCACACGCGAGCTCATCAAGGATGCCCAGTTCCGACGCGCTGTCGCCCTTTACCACCTTGGAAAGTTTGCAGACGCCAGCTTCCTTCTAAACATAGTGAAGGTGTTTGATGATAAGGACAAGATGCTGCCTATCTGGGAAGCAAAGATCGCCGCGAAGCTCCAAAACGTGCCAGAAGACGAGCGCAAGCCGACTATAGAGGAGACGCCGATTGTCGAGATCCCTACAGCGTCAGCGCCTACCGCACCGGCCAAGGTCGAGGAGTCTGCCTCGAAGCAGACCACAGGACAAGCCCCGACTCCCATCGCGGTGACTCCCCTGAACAAGATCAAGACCGACTGGTACCAGGTTCACGATACAGTAACGCTCACCATCATGGCCAAGGGCATATCGAAAGACCGAGCAGACGTCAAAATCGAAGACGAGTCTGTCTACATCTCATTCCCTATTGATGGCACGGCCTCCGAATATAGCTACGCCGTCGATCCCCTCTACGCATCCATCGACCCTGCGCAATCCAAGTATCGAATTACGCCGAACAAATTGGAGGTGACACTGCGGAAGGCATCGCCGGGTGTGAGATGGCACGAGCTTGAGCGTCCTGCCGACGTAGGCCAAAGCGACTCGACCACCGCTCAGCAGTCAACTACCGAAGTCACTGTACCAATCCGGGAAGGGCCAGCTCCTGCATACCCAACCTCATCCAAGTCGGGCGCGAAGAACTGGGACAAGGTTGTAGTGGATGATCTGGACGACTTGGATGAGCTCGACGGCGGTGACGAGACATCGCGCTTCTTCAAGCAGTTATACAGCGGGGCTACACCGGAGCAGCAGCGCGCCATGATGAAGAGCTACTCCGAGAGTGGCGGTACCGTTCTGAGTACTGATTGGTCTAATGTAGGAAATAAGACAGTAGTGCCTGAGCCCCCTGAGGGCATGGAGGCGAAAAAGTACTAGCATTCTTCACAGTTTGCTCAAAGAAGACACTCACTCTGATCCCATCTCGCCCTCGACATCCGTGGATTACGCCATGACTCAGGTACTACTCAACAAGGTACTTTCAAGGGGCTAACAGTTCACACGAGAAGTTGCGTGGGCTTGAGTCATGCACATTGATCACGAAGTAATTTGCTCGGCACGACTACGGACTTCTCGTATCATTTATTTTACTCAAGCCATGGGCTACTGCATGATACGGTGTTCAGAAAGGGTGTTTGAAATCTGTGTAGCGACTCTGCATTTGCAGAACACCCAGTGGTGTAGAACTACAAACTCAGAAACAAACTTCAATTAATCCACATAGTCTTATGTAACCAAACCCATTTCCAATTGTTGCCGGTGCCTGACTAACGTCGCGTTGTACGTCCGCCGAAAGGCCGAGCCGACATTGACGGTTAGTAATAGGCTCGTAATGGGGGGCGATCCTAAGGTCCAGGGATTCCCCACAAACGTCATAGCCATTGAGTTACCTGCAGCTGAGAGGCGTTGCGCTCCACCAAGGCATATATCAGTATGATGCAAATGGAAATTCGATTGAAATCGTGTGTACTCCTCTGCCTGGATGCAGATTGAGTCCTACTCTCGTAAATGTTCCTCGGAGTCGGACGCACGTCTTTCGTCACACGAAAGCCCATACTCCATCTGATATCAAGAACCCGTAACAGCACAAGCAAATCACAACCTTTTAGAATCCCACCATCTTTCCTCCCCAGAACAATGGCAACAGCATCTAAAATCCAGCTCTCCGCCTCGCAAACCCCCCAATTCCACGTCGCAAACCTAGCCCCCGAGAGCGCAACCAAGGCCAGCGAACTCTTACAGACCAACCATGAAAACCACCACATCTTCTTCAACCAAGACGGCTTCCACAACCACATCGCCCACCACCTCCTCACCCTCTTCGCCCTCGGCGCCACACCCGCCCAACTCCAAGCCGCCTACGACCACAACGCCTCGTACCAGCGGCCGCCGGAGCCGCTGCAACCCTCCATCGTGAGCGGCATGCAGGACCCCTCACGTTTCAAAAACTATCTCGGACAAGAAAAGTACTACCATGATTTCCTCGTCTTCTTCCAAGAGGAGATTGATAACAAAGGGTGGGAGGCTACGCTCCAGGAATACCTTTTTGCGGGGACGGAAATGGCGGATGATTTGTTGGTGAGGTTGTATGCGGGGTTTTTGCATCCGTTGATTCATCTCGGGTTTGGGGTCGAGTTTGAACAACCAGGTGTTATTGCTGAGGCGTTGGCGCAGGCGGCGGTGCATGGGGCGTGGATGAAGGGGTTGTTTGTGGGGTGTGAGGAGAAAGTCAAAGAAAGAGAGGCTGGGGATGTTGGGGGAAGGAAGACAATTGTACAGGTGCTGGAGGAGTGTAGGAGTAATGAGAAAATGCGGACGGCGGCGCAGGAGGGCGATGCGAATAAGATCCGCGATGGAATTTTGAAGCGGGCGCCGGCTGAGATGGTGGAGATGGCTACACAGTGTTTTGTAAAAGAAGGTGATGATTTACAGGAGAAGATGGCGGAGATGGTTAATGCTACTGGTATGTTCCCCCTCACTCTTTCTAGCACTCTACCTACCATCGACAGTCACGACTAACGCAGGGAACAGTCTACTTCACAAGCACATCCCAACACCCCCCTCACATACCCAAACTAGACTTCTTCTATATGCACTGTCTAAACGCCTCAATCTTCTTCGCCCGCTTCCTCGCAACCCCCTCCTTCTCCCCCCACACACAGCGGCGCCTGCTAAACTGGAAAATATGGTCCGATATCACAATGTACGTGTCGCGCGGTTGTCCCCCGCTCCTACTACAAGAAATTACAGACTACAAGCCCAAGAAAGAGGGGGATCTGGCGAGTGTGATTGAGAGAGTCAAGCAGATTGATGACGATGGGCATGCGGCCAAGTTGGTAAGGGCGATTGCGAATGCAGAGCGGGTTTGCAAAGAGTGGGAGGGGAGGGACGGGTTTGAAGTCAAGGGCGGGATGTGGGATAAGGTTGGGTTGTTGGCGGTGGAGAGCTTGGAGGCGGGGGCGCCGGAGTGGGTGAGGGGGTGTGGGTTTGATGGTGCGTGGAAGGATGTGCCGTTGAGGGAAGGAGGGGGGAAGTTGTAATGGGGCGTTCGACTCTGTATCGCAAAGCTACCGTAAAGATGTGTGAAATATCTTCTCTTTCACTGATACGTTGACGATCTCTTGTCTTGTGGAGTACGACATCCATGGAGAAACCACTAGTACTACTAGTCTATACCGGTACCCGTCACAAAGATACAAACCAGCGCAGTCACTACATACCCGAAACAAGACTTTCTTGGCAACACGGCTGGGAGCAGGTGTATACCTGAGACATAGGTAACGTTTAATCTAACAACCCGCTCCATACAAGAGACACAACGTCTGTAGTCTACCCAGCCGTCCTAATCTACTTCTGACCAATGACATCATTGAAACAGGACTTCCTCCTTTGCCCCGCGCAATATGGTTTGATTGTGGGTTTAGCAAGGGGGTTCTTTGTTCTAGTTTTGAAGATTGGCGAGGTGGGGAACGGGCCTGACTGGGGGGGTACAGACTAGTATTGATGGCTGGGTGATGGGGATGAATTGGTGGTTTGGATTGGCTTAGAGAAGAGTATACCAGTGAATTAGATGAGGGGGGGTCTATGGTTAGTGTGCATATATAGGGTCGGACTTGCTTGTGTTGAATTTTCTGGTAGTGAGTGGGGTGGGGGGTAGTTAGTGGCATGCAGCTAGTGAAGAAAGTTTTGTATGTGCGTGGGACGGGGAAGTGAGGGCGGGCAATGCGAGTGGTAGGTGGGAGGTTCCGTTTAGATAGGACTTGTCAGACGATCGCGGGTGCCTACATGTTTGCCCATGCACGTACACATGGTTTTCAGTTGCTGTCGAAGATTGTCAGTGCGTCAGAGTAGCGGTAGTATCGTTGTGTACAGGAGAATGAGAGGTGGCAAGTGGTTTCTCAAGGGCAGTCGCAATCAACAAACGCATAGCTCCAAAGGAAATACAGCGGTTAGCAGAGTCGAGCATGCGAATACGAAGGGTGTTGGATCTCCCGGTGGTCTGATTCTTACGTTAGCGATGAGAAGGCGGTATGCAAGTGGAAGAATTGGGTAATGGCGTTACGGAGGCCATGGAATAGACATGGGGTATTTGTGGGAATGCCAAATCGCGGGAATCAAGGTGCAGAGTTTGGTTCAGCGGTGAGTAGGAAAGTGGTGGTTGGACCATCTGAATGAGTGAGATGCACGTACATTCGTACTTGTTCTGATCAATTTTGGCGCGTGGTAAGCACTCTTATGAGTGTCGTGGTCATAGACTGTCCACCATCAAAAGCATCCAGAGCATCAGTGCTCTCTTGGGTCTGACCCTGGAGAGCTTATAAGCCTCTCGAACCAGTATAAATAATAGTCATGTACACACGTTCGACTTTTACTCTTCTCTTGCGTCTTCATCCTACCGATTTCTCATATCAACAAACACGTACACATCATGGACGAGGCAAAGCCTTACTCTTTCCCTAAGCGATAGCCTGAATAGAGCAACTCGACAATAACCATGTCTACGCTTCAAACATGACATATCACAGACTTGTGAAACGCATACTCGACATAGCAAGACGTCTTTACATGGGCGCCTACCGCGAGGTGTATGTGAGTGATGGGCGTATATGAAGAAAAAGATGGTAAACAGGACACGGTAGTAATTTGATAAAAAGACAGCACTAGTGGAAGTACGGTGCTTCGGCCCATGAAACAGGTACGAGGCGGGTCGTGCTGTAAGGACCAGTGAGGATCAAGACGTGCCTGGACGCGATACGGGGACAGGGATGTTGAGTGTCGATGACGAGTGGAGAGACGATGTGATGACAGAGGCTGGTATCTACGTTGGTGATCCGGGCGGGTTGTGTCCACAGTGTTGGTATCCACAGGCCGGGATGGGGGGCGACAAGGTAAGATGGAATTAGGTAACTAGTGCTTAGATGTAGAGGGGCACGAATATTACGGGACGCAGACGAAAACATTATTTGCAGGTTGTGCGAGGGGACATGTGTCGAGAGAGAGAGCTGAGGTGAGAAGGGGGCCGGGATGGTGCATGAAGGTGCTTCAGCAAGAATAGACAGGGCGAATCAGAGGAGCTTTTGATGATTTAGGCGCTACTGCAGGAACACGATGGTATCGATAGGCTGTATGGACCCGGGCCGGGAATTGGCATGAAAAGACGAGGGGCATCCCGGCGCGTATACAGTGGGCGGTTGACCTTCTGGGACAAGTTGCTAAGGGGAACATGCGGCCGTGCAACGTCTGTGCCGCGGTGCAGCAGATGCTTTCGGCCTCGTACAGGGAGGGCCGTGAACAGGCGGCTGTGACGGTGGCGACGTGGTCATGGAGATTTTGTCCTCGTTACTGTACAGTATTTGCGCGCTTCGCCGCGTTATTGCCGCGCCGGTCAGATGGTCTTGGGCAGTGTTGGCGCAATCTCCCGCCTAGGGTACCAGCGAATAGAGGAGGGTAAGCAGGCGGCCGCAGCTCACCGGAGTCGTGAGATATTGCTACTGTGCAAACATGCGAAGCCGGTGCAAACAAACAAGCAGGGCAAAAGGAGTCGTGGACCCATGTGTGTGGAACTTCTGGAACTGCAACTTGGGGCAAAAAAGAAAAGGAGACATGGCACCGATGACATGGACGCCATTCCATTGCCGGTATCCGCTTTGGCAATTGGCAATTGCGATATGTCGGTTTTAGTGGGGCACGTCATTGCCGTCATGGCCGTGATACGACGGCCTTCAGTTGGGGCCATGTCTCTAGCACTCTCTAGTCTCTCATTTCTGCGCGATAAAGAGCATCAGAGATTGCAATGGCCTAATTGCGCACGGGTTGCCGCCATTACAGCAAGCATGGCGACGATCCAATCCCAGTCTGACCCGGCTCTATGTACTGTGCCACGGGGGGTGCCACGGGGGGTGCAACGGCCGACGGGGACAGGCAGAGGCTGAAATGGACAGGGGAAGGAAATGGGCAAATGCAGCTGAGTTGATGAGCCATGAGCAGCGCACACGTGGAGCGAATCGGCCGACAATCATGGTGAGGCAGAAGCGTGCAAGACCAGCGGAGCCGAGTGTATCTCTGTCTGTGCCTAGTACAAGAGACGGAAAAAGCAACTCGCGCGCATCCACATCCCACGGCTTGCACCGCGCATCATGTCCACGACGGCGGCTTTTTGAGTACCGCAGTACTGCAGGCACGCTGCAAGGCTGCCCTTCTTCCAACCCATGTTTAGGATCGACAACTGCGTTCCCCTTACTGACATGTTTCAGCTTCCCCTTCCTGGTCTAGAGGCCGGTGTGCAGCGCATCACGGTCCAACCATAGCCACGGCAGCGCCTTGTCACGCCCTCCCATGCCATGGCGCTAACCTAGGGTTTCACTTCGCTAAACCAAAGCATTCCTTCATCTCCCCTAGGAGATGCCCATCGGCATGGTTCCGTGGTGATAACCGCTCAATCCCCTCGGGCCCTCTTCCTTTTCCCTTTCGCTTTGCTGCCTTCGTTCCTTTGCTCGTCACTCTTTTGGCTCAAACATTCGCTATCCAGCCTCAGTTGTCTCGACACAACGTTCCACTCCTTTTCACTTTACACTGTTTGAAGCGCAGGAGAGTCCTGGCGGCTGATACTTTCAACACCACCTCGCCTTGTCCCCGAACGTCAGATCGTCAAGTGCCACCGAGCTGTTGAAAAAGCACCCTCCAATCTCCAACACTTTCAGCCTACTTTATCACGACACCACTCAACTGCCATTCAAGCAAAACACAAACTTGACCACCGTTACCATGAAGTCTGTCGCTTCCTACGCGGCGGCTGCCGCGGTCCTATCGGGATCTGCCAACGCCTTCTGGCGCATGCCTTGCCGTGCCCGAACAGGTCTCGCCCGTCTCGATCCTATCGTCGACTTCGGAATCGCCTCATCCCACAGTCACACCATCCACGGTGGTGGTAGTAAGTAAACACCGTTCCCTTTTCTGTTTGGACCCACATCGCATTGAACCACGTGGTCATGTGAGTCGGCCAAACGTGTCCGAAAACGAGCACTACCTGGCCCGTCTTGCAGTGTTCCAGTCCTTGATGCCCAAGTGTCTGATGCAGGCCCTGTTTCGCCATGACAAGTGACTGACAGTTGACAGACTTTGGTGAATCAACTACCTATGAGATGCTCCGCGAGTCTGAGTGCACGTCATGCCAGTTCAGCGACGACAAGTCCGCCTACTGGACCCCTTCGCTCCACTTTGTCCACGAGGACGGCATGACCGAGGTTGTTCCTCAGGTTGGCGGTATGCTTGCATACTACCTCCTTTTGGGCGAAAACATCAAGGCCTTTCCCAAGGGCTTCGAGATGGTTGCCGGTGACTCCCGTCTGCGCAACTTCACTGGTCCCGTTCCAGACCCGCCAACCTCGTCCTGGGGCCCAGAGGACAAGACTCAATTCGCCCTTGGCCAGAAGGCCCTCGGCTTCAACTGCCTCAACTACGACATTGCCCCCGAGGGCTCGCGTTTCCGCCACACTCTGCCCAGCAAGGAGTACTTGGATGCCCACTGCAAGAACGGTATCCGTGCTGAGCTTTTCTTCCAATCCTGCTGGAACGGCAAGGACGTCACCGCTCCTGACCACAAGAGCCACGTCGCCTACCCCGACATGATTCAGGGTGGCAAATGTCCCAAGGGCTACGAGACCCGTCTGCCTTCGCTGTTCTACGAGACCATCTGGGACACGTACAAGTTCAAGGGAGTGCCTGGTCAATTCCTCTTCTCCAACGGTGACCCCACCGGTATGTTTTTCCATGCCCTTTACCAAAGCACTGCAACTAACATCGGACAGGCTGCGGATACCACGGTGACTTTATGAACGGCTGGGACGTCGACACCCTTCAGCAAGCCGTCGACACCTGCACCAACCTCTCTGGCCGTGTCGAGGACTGCCCAGTCTTCTCTGGATCCCTGCAAACCGAACTCGAGCAGAACATGTGCAAGATCAAGGAGATGCCCAAGATCCTTGACGACGATGACTGCGCCGGTCCCGTCGAGGGTCTCTGCGGTAACGTTCCTGTCCAATATGGTCCCGGCTACGCGGACCCTGCTGGAGCCGCTTCGCCAGGAAAGCCAAACAAGCCTGTCCTCTCTTCCGTTGAGATGTCTACGCAATCCTACGCCCCTGCTCGCTCTACCGGTGCCGGTGGTATCTCCGTCTACAACGTCGGTGTCGGCGTTGGCATCAACGTTGGCATCAACGCTGCACCTTCATCCTCGTCTTCGTCTTCGTCTTCTCCCACGCCCGCCGCTGCCCCCGCCGCTGCCATCACTCCCGTCGCAGAACCTGCCGAAGACGATGGCACCATCATCTCCACCAGCACCTACGTCAAGGACGGTGTCGTATACGAGGTTGTCATCAAGGAAGTCATCACCTACGTTACCGTCGACTCGAAGCGTCGCCGCCACGCTCACAAGCACCGCCGCGACCGCGAGCACGGTCTTTTGGGCCGCCACTAAAGCCTTTCTCTTCTTGTATTCCATCTCTTCTACCACCCATTTTTTCCGTAGTAGTAGAGAGTGATTAAGCTGAGAAAGAGCAAAGCTTTTTCTTCACGACACATATACACATATACAACAAACGTAGCATTCTTGGAAAATTTACAACGGGTTTGCATGCGACACATGGCGTTTCGATAACTATTTTTTATTCCTTTTCTTTTCTACCTTTCTTTGATCACGAACGACCAGCAAATACAAGATACCATTCTCCCCCCCTTGCGCAGCTTTTCTCCATCTCTTCTCAACCGACTTCTGCCACCACTCTCACCGCTCTTGGCTTCTGTCAACATGGGGTTACGGTTTCGAACACTCAAACAGTCGTTTTGCCAAACCAGGAGAGAGATGGTGGCGCGAGCAGAATTAACCTTTTTGGAACCACAGGTTTATTTGCTTTTGGTGGTTGAGAGCGATGTTTGAAGAGCGAGGAGAGGAAATTTGTTTTCTCCTATGTTCTTTTTTTTGCCTTTTTTTTTACTTTACTTTGTGGATGCTTTCACCCTTTTCCTTGTCTCTCCATGTGGAAGGCTGTGCCGGACACAAGGGGGATCGATCACAAGTGTGTGTTTTGTTGTTGTCTCCATGTTGGGGAAGAAGAAGAAGAAGAAGAAGAAGATGGAGACGAGAGGTAGAACAAAGGAAGATGTCTTGTAGCGCGAGCCATGATACCATTGAACTGTTTTGATTATTGCTGTCTGATTTTACATCATCTGGATTGCAGTACTTTGCTTATTGTCCACATGAAGATGGATGCCAAACTCTCCCAACCGATGTCGTCAACATGTTTACAATCCCCCTTTACAAGGCTCTGCTAGTCTAACTCCCATATCCGCACTAGTCTATCCAGCATACTTATCTCGCATAAACTTCCCCTCTTACACCCAATCTCCCCCTTCGCACGCGCACGCACGCATCAACAACAACCCTAATAATTACAACAATATCAACAACAACATCAACAAATAATCCCCATCCGCATCCGCATCATCCTCCTCCCAACATCCAATCTCCACAACAAAACAGAAGCAGTGACATTAATGCGACAAAACCCAGTCCGTCAGTCAGCAATGGCCGGAGTCCAGACACACACACACACACACACACAAAGCACGCTAGCAGTAATAATAATAATAACAATAATACGAAGGAATAATAACACCGCTGCAAGGTCGGTCGGTCGGTCGGTCAGTCGGTTATATGAGGGATACGGTTACCCGTGATATTTATCCTTGGCGGAGTGTAAGATTGTCTAGGCAAAGTCTTGGTGGAAGTGCTTGGTCGGTTATTTTGATGGTGGTATTGGAAGGGTGGTAAGGGTGGTAGGGGAAGTGTGACGAGGTGGGTAGATTGGTGGCTTGGTGGCTTGGGGGGGAGATGGATGGGGGTGTTTTGTAGGGATGAGGTGGTAGGATGGCGGGTTGTATAGTGGGTTGTATGGTGGATGTAGTAAGGCGTGGTGGTAGGTTTAGTTCTGCGATAGGATGGGATAGGATGCGATGTGTGGAATGACCTAGTCGTTAGATTTGTACCGTCTTGCGTGGCTTGGAGCACTATGTCCTTTTGTTAGGCTAGGTCTTCTCACGTTATTGTAGTTGTAATTGTAAATCTCTACCTTGCTTTGCCTTGGCTGTCATGATCATTAGAGAATCTGATGCTACAGTAAACACAGTGTACCTTTAGTAGTTTTGAGACCGTCCTGGCGCCGCATGACCTATGCCAGGATCTGTTGTAAATGTAGACATACGGTAAGCGGTACTTGAGTGGGTTAAGACTTTCCGTCCAACGAAGATGTGGGTGTGGAAGAGGAACATTATCCATTAGCCTGAGAGGAGGGAGAGGTCAACAGTGGGATAAGGATAGAAGACGGTATATTGTGGACTATAGATACAGGTGAATGGCTGAATAGAAAATACTAGATAATTCCCTTGTATAATCGACGTCCGCTGTAAATACACTACCTAATTCATATGAATGAGATACGGCGCAGTCCTTGGGGGCCAGGCGACAATGATGAGTTTAGCAAGGTTGACGACATGGAGAACTCGGTGATTTAGGGCGCGACAATAGTGTTAAATGTGAGTCGAAAGATGGGATGTCGTGGGCTAAAGGGCGGGGCTCAGGACGGATGGCTCAGGGCGCAAGGGCTGATGCAATTGTGTGGTCGTGAGTCGTTTGGCATAGTCTAGATATTAGCTGTGATATTATTAGGACTATCCCATATCTTCACTGTATGACAACTTTCACCACACACTATCAAAAACAGTTCAACAACACTGTCAAAACACTTCGTAGATACACTATCCACCCACTTCCAATCAAGTCAACATACACCTCCCCTAACACAATGCAGACAATCCAAATACAAATGGGCCTCTCATCTCTCCCTCCCAAACTCCTCATACACTTACGAGCTACACAAATCCGACAGTAACCATGGATCATCTCTCAATGCTTCTCGACATGGACCTCGACGGTCCCAACACGACATCCAACACGACTCTCGGCGCCCTGCCATCACTCCTGTTGAACCAGTCTTTCCCCGGTTACAGCCTCCTCTCACAGCTACTCCAGCGCCACCTCGGCGTCGACGTGAGTGTGATACTCCCCACCCTCTTCGGCTTCTGGGCCCTATTCTACAGCGGTCGTGCAGTTTACATGTATCTGTACGACTACGTTCTAGTCTACTTTGTCTCGACTCTGCATATTGAAAGGGCCGACAATCTCTACGATAGCACCATGGATTGGGTTTCAGCACACAACATGACTGCGACGTCTCGCGACATCATCGCGGGTACCGACGCGCGTGGCTACGACTCAGACAACGACGACGACGAAGACATCATCGACAATGGCACTGGCATCTTCAACTACTCCAAATGGTCCCGCACTGTGCCGCCGCATTACGTGCCTTACTACGGTAACTTGACTTTCCGACACAACGGCCGCTGGTTCATGTTGACGCACACGCGTGGCGACGCCATCCCCACCCGTTACGGTGGTGCCATGCGCGAGGAGAACCTGACGATTCGTTGTCTGGGGCGGAGCATGCAGCCGCTCAAGGACCTCTTGTGCAACATCAAGGTCTGGGATTCTGAGAAGGAGGTTTGTGTTACGGCTGTTTGGCGGCCGGCGCCTAGGGATACCCAGGAGCGTCGCTGGGAGCGCTCTGTTTCTCGCATGGCCCGCCCGATTAGCACTGTGTCGCTTGATTTGGAGCAGAAGGTTAATCTTGTTCGCGATATCAATGAGTATCTGCAGCCGGTTACGGCGCGTGGTATTCCTCATCGTCGCGGTTACCTCTTCCATGGCCCTCCTGGTACGGGTAAGACTTCGCTCTCGTTTGCCCTGGCTGGCATCTTAGGGCTGAATGTGCATTGCATCTCGCTCAATGAACGTGGTCTTACTGAGTTGTGTCTCAATCAGCTGTTCAAGGACCTGCCTCGTCGCTGCATTGTGCTGCTGGAGGACATCGATCCCGCTGGATTGCGCCGCGAGGAGCTCGACTCCAACTCAGACCCTAGTCCCGCTGGCCCTGATGATGCTGAGGATTCTGTTGACTCTGGTCCTGATGGTCCTTACGGTCCTGGTGACGACGCCCACTACGACCCATACTAACAGGAGATGATGATGATGATGGAGTTTGCCCGTTCACGCATGGCAGCCGCCACTGAGGTCAAGGATAGCAGCAAGAAGAAGAATCCGGACGAAGACTTTCTCAAGCTCGTCACTGCTGTCCTTCCCAAGGTCGATACTTTCTCACCTGAGCGCATCGCGGACATGGCTGAGCGTTTTGCGGAACAGCTGCCCGAGGACACGTTCTCACCGGCAGAGGTCCAGGGCTACTTGCTCAAGAAGAAGCGCGATCCCGTGCAGGCGCTTGAGGAGGTGTGCAAGTGGCGCGACAGCGTTCTGGAGGCAAAGAAGAAGGGGACGAAGGTTGTTTCTGAGAAGTAAGGCGTTGCGCCTTGACTGTCTCTTGGTGTGATCGTGTAGTGGAGGTGATTCTGATTCTTTTCGAAGAATCTAGTGCGTTAGCATGTGTTTGCAGCTCCCCAATCGACATTCTTGATTTGATTTTACGTTTTTGATCGTGCTTTGAATTTAGTTATCATTTCGCATATATGAATATCGCAAATAAATTTGGTTTCAACAAAATACTTTTCCGTGTGACTTCCTGAGTGAGTGATGTGACAGACATAGGATGGTTTTAATACTGTAATCGTCTGTCGACAAGTGGTAGTGTACCAAAATTCCACGAGTGATGAACGCAGGGTAGAGTCGATCCCAACGGCCACTACAGAATTATTTTCCCAATCAGCTTGCACCACTTTACCTTGTGATTTGTTTTGTCCAAGGAGAGATAATTTCATCTTCTGGCAATGTTGCGCAGATGCGCAATACATGGTGCGTTGCTATCTGCCCCCCTGAAGCACCTCACTTTACAAAAGGCACGCTTTGGTGGGTTTTCAGAGTACGATGCCGATACCAAGAGAATTTCTGCAACGTCTCCACACACGGGCCGTTGTGGCGTACAACAGACACTTAGTCTCGACGCCCAAATGTAGAGACAAGAGTGTCGCGAGAAATCAAGCAACTTGCGGCTTTCCTTGGCCGTGCTTGACCGCGCGAATAGTGAGAGATTCCGCTATTGAAAGGACCCAGTCGAGCTGCATCATACGCTTTGTCCGGCCTTCTCGCTGTGCGTCATCGGCGCCCCTGCCCCGTACAATTACGCAAACCCACATGCGTTTGCGCAAAACAAACAGGTGGCTTGCATTCTCCCTTGCGAAACGTCTTCCCTGGGTGCAGCAGCGTCATGCACATTGGATTTCCCCCTATCCTCAGCAAATGTGCGATTATGTCATACAGGAGCGGCTTCTCTGTCCTCTAGCCGAGCGGCTATGTCATACAGGAGCGGTATGGAGGCTGTGGAGGCGGGCGCAGAGCGGGTAGCTCGCCTGATGACGAACACAAGGTCTGCCAGGGGATTCAAATGTGGTGGTGTTGATGTCGATCGCTTTCGATACTTGACTATTTCGAGAACAATTTGACTTTGGTTTCTGCGGTTACACGGATTTAAGCAGTATGACATCATACCTTGCCGCGAAGATGGTGGTCAGCGTGTCAATGGTAAGAAGGTCTCAAGCTGTGGTAGGCTACTGCTGTACCGTCTTCGGAAGCTTTGTAAATGGTGATGGCGGCAATGGTGAGGGCCTAGGGCTTCTTTCGTCAGTCGCGTGCTCTCCAACCCATGCTAAGTGAAACTACACGCCAGACGCCTGTCAGTGCTGGTGCAAGATCACTCGGCTCGCGCGCCGGAGTGACGCATGCGGCAAACGTCGACGTAGTTTCTCGGGGTGTACCGATTGAATGACGGGTAATCGTGGTTCATTAGACATGACATGCACATGGAGCATCATCGCCTACAATTAGCGGACAGCCATACCCGCAGCACCATGGTCGCTGTGTAGCGTGTAGAATGACGGGCATGTTGACGGTGAGCCTTCCTTGGTAGGAAGGAGAGGTGTGGGGTGGTTAGAGTTGTCAAGCGGATCTGCGGGTTGGCATGACGCCTCAAAGGCACGATAGCAAAAGACTAGTGGAAGGATTGGTAGGATCCGAATGGCATTTTCGAAACAAGGCTGCCTTGAGTCGCAATATCGAGTCGAGAGCCAGTGGGAGGTGAGCCGCCATGGAGCTAAGTGTGGAGCGGTCCAGACGTTGAGCGGCGGCATCGAAAATTCGGGGAGGGGATCGAAACTGCGCGCGAAGCCTGAACTCTGCATCTTCTCCGCTCAAATTTTGATTCAGATTTCTCGGAGCGAATTTTTGACTCGATAGGCGCGAAATGCAAGGTGAAAATCTTTAGAACGCCACACTTGAGGTCGATCTGCCCAAATCAAGTGCGCCTCTTGTGGTTGGCGGGGGTTGAGATGATCGCTGGGCTGGACAAGGGATTTGCGAGTCTCGACACTGTAGATCCGTCTATCGAGGGCGTTCCAGCCTTGCTCCAGTGCAGAGGCAAAACATCCATGTCGGGAAAGTAGGCAGCCCATGTCGCCGTCGTATAACGTAAGGGATGAAGGAGGGGTGGGTAGACAGGCTCGTCATACCGGTACCTGCGTTCTTCCAACTCGGGCTGGTCGGTTGAGTAGACCCTGCATGACGAAGCGAGGGGCTGAAGGGAAGCGGGAAAGTGGAATAACGTCAGATGTGACGATGAACAGGCAAAAACATGTCCAGGTGCTGGCTGGGAGCGGTTCACAGTGGGAACTATGAGCGCAACGGCTGTGCTAGGAGCGGTTAGCTTAGACCCTGCATAAGCAAAGATGAGGCTAGGCCCGCTTATATGTAGCCATGCAGAAATCACGATGATCTATGCTGTATTGGGATAAAATGACGTTTTCTGGGGCACGGTAACTTTTGTTGTCTCTGGAGCCTGGCTGCACTTCTGCAGCCTGGAGGGAAGAGGCTTGTCCCGCTTGTGTGGAATGTGTCTCGTAGTTGAGCACTTGACGTCGTTGGAGCGCCTCCGTGCTCCACGACACCAGCCGTGCCGTCGGAGATTGATACGGTATTTGCGTCATTGTGTCCCGAGGATGGACGGGGCTGTGTGCTGTGTTGACGGCATCAGTAATTGAATTCGGCATGCGATTTCACCATTGCCGCTCCATGGGAAAATACACTACAATCATGTGCCGAGTGACCTCAATTCGTGACACCATTCAGCGAACGCGGTACGCTCTTCGTCTACCGTCAATGGATAGCCACCGGACTAGTGTGTATTATGGTGGAAAGACCCCTAAACACCCTGGTTGTCGTCTTTCCAAGGACCGTCATTGGCGACATCATCAAGAAGCCACGATGCCCAGAAGGGAGACCCACGGCAAACCGGGATGTTTGTATCGACGTGGCATGATTGGCTTGGTCAGTCGTCTAAAACAAAAGTAGAAAGACCCTGTAGATCCCTCGCTTTGGGCGCCGAAGCTTGCGGATATGTGGGTGGGTCCCCTGGGCCCTTGGAGAGAGAGCCGACAATCAAGGGCCGATCTTTTGCCCTGCGCGGTGAGAAGGGTACTTGTCGTTCCGTCCGCCTAGGTTGCGCGTGCGTTGTGAGACGCCAGAAGGTATATATTTCACATCCCGCTTGCTGATTCCAAAATTCCCATCTTCATCATCTGGCTCATCGATTCACATACAAATCTTCGATCTACATTCCCCATATCTCTCCAGCTTACTTAAGCCTTTGAACATCAACACCACTACATCTCTACTAAACATCCTCTACAATGGCCGCCATGACTGAGTCTCGCCAACAAGTCTACGTCTCCGATGGCTTCTCTGAGCCCATGAGCGCTCAGCACAACTTTGCCAACCACTTTGACCTCAACGACCCGGACCGAGCCATGTCTGAGTACCAAAGGTATGTTGCGACGTTCCATGTGACTTGCAACAAGCACTGACATTCTGCTAGGATCATGCACGAGCACACCAAGCGCCAGCTCACCACTGCCACCGACTCGGCCCGCCGACGGAGTGGAGCCTCTTCATCCAACGACTCCGTCCGCTCCAACAGCTCATAATCACCGTCGTCAATAATTCTCGACGACTTTCTATTCAAGCGTCCGCGACGCCTTGTACATTAGCGATACATGGCCCAAGATTATTGCTTGGTTCCATTTCATGAGAGCGGTTGGCGTTTGGGTTTCATAGTCAGCATATGCCATTGGCATGCACGGAACGGTGTTGAACGACTTAGCGGTTATCTTTGTTTACAAACAATCAATTGTCTCATCAAGCGGACCTTCCGTCAACTACTTGCATCCTCTCGCGTGACTCCTGTGCCTGATCATTAAGTCCGGGTTATCCGTGCCACCACTCCACATACCAAAACAACAACCTGTTATAGTCTGCACACATGCTGGTTAGTCGACGCCCCATCATGCAATCAGCAATGTTCAGATTCATGTCCTCAATAGTCGCCCCCACAATCTCACCGAGCGCTAATTGTTCATCCCAGCTCTCCAACCTCCCACTACTTTTCCCAGCCCGCACGCCTTGGGTAGCAATTGCATGCAGGGTCTTAATCCCGCATGACCACGTTAAACGGTTAGAGCCACTAGTCACAACGCCGAACGGATCAGCTTCAACCAATGAATAAACGGCCGAGGACCCACTCAGAGGGGCCTGTTTCAAAATGCACTAATATCTCGCAGAATCTCATCCAGAAACCTGAAATGCGGATGTTAAAAAGGCCGTTGTAGGTCCGAGGGGATAGCCGGTGAAGCGTGGAGGAGCGGATGAAGGCGGGGCCGACTTGATCTACCGATATCGTACTTTTCCTGTTTCAAGACTCAACTACCTACACCAAAACAAGCTTGAGAAGGAAGAACGAAGAACGAAGAACGGAGTTGTGGGTTATAGTACTACAAGAACTTGCGAACAAGGTAAAGGCTCGCGCGACTTTCATACATATCCGGTGAACGAGGCGGGGCGGCGGGTTCGTCGTTTGGCCAACGCCACTTGGGCAGGATCGAGTAGGTTTCGCAATCAGATGCACCGTCATTGTATCAGTATCAACATCGCATGCTTGATACTACAATACCGAGATACTGCATGGTAAAGACACACCTTCTATTTACGTTGCTCCTCTGATCTGCAGCCTAGAGGCTGATCTCGGAACTACCTGCCGAGCCAACCTGTCCACAGCTATCACCGCACAAATTTATCGTTATAACGGCGAAAGAGAATACATGGTTGAAATGATCAGAGGATTTTGTTACGGTACGTCCTTCACAGCACGCGTAGTATGGTGATCACACTGACTTTGATAAGATACTTTGAGTGCTCGCTATATAGTGGGTCTAGACGATAATGCGACCGTAGCTGCTTTTTATGAGATATTCTCCAATGCCCCCGAGTCGCAGGAGGTGGGCAAGACTAAAAGGGATTACCATTACAGCAACTACTGCGGTTCTCCTAACACCTGAACGACCACACAGACGCTGGATGCACCACCTGGGACAGTGAATACTCTGCATCTCTTGATGGACTGAGAGCAGGCGAGGACCATCTTACATTCTGCTCACAGCAATCAATAAGAAGCCGCCAAAAGGCCACCTCCTCTGACAGTGTTAGAACTACTGCGATCTCTGCACGTGCCACATCGTGGGAAAGATATCCCGATACCCCGCAGCCGTCTCGCCCATGTACATAAATGATCAGTCTCCCAATTAGTCCAACGATAAAGTAAGTCTATCTTAGGAGGCGAGGGTCCCAGCTTGCTTACCGCCGAAATAACATGTCAACGAGAGACATGTAAGCTTCCTCGCTGTCCTCGCTCTTCTTCCACTTCTTGCCACGGCCTATCTTGATGACGACGAAATATGCCAAGATGCCAAAAAATGTGACTCCTGCAACAGTCTCGACCGTTCTGTCCGTGTGCTACTTCCAGGATGAGTGGAGAAATTGACTAACTTTTGTAACAAAGGGCAATCCTTTCAAAGGCGCGTGTCTCCCTAGTGCTAATGGCCGAGGCTTTTACTGCGCCCTACATTTCGACGGTCAATGCTAGGAGTTTTAGTAAGAAGTCATCTGAATATTTACTCCAAGTCACTAACTTGGATACAGGCGAAGAGAACACATGTGGAAAACAGTTGCGGAAGAATTTACATCTTGCTAGATTCTACAGGTTGCTAAACTGCACGAGGCGAAGAGTCGCATGGGATTTATTGCCTTGGGCTTTCGGGCGTGTGGAAGCGGTCAACAGGTGTACTTGAGGGGATTTCGTGCAAGACGCCAGTGTAGAATTCGACTTGTCAAATCACGCATTCTACACATTCTACTATTCCATTCTCGAGAGACTCCTCTACTAACCTTGACGTCTCGGTGGTCCTGGCTTTCAGTAGGTTACGATGACTGAGTTCTATCAGGCATAATAAAAGTATTGCCAGATACGGAACCCCGGCATGTCGCGAATGCAAGCAACGTGTTTAGCTTCGTAGACTGCAGCACGCTGAATAAGCAAGTGGAAGCTCAGGCATACGCGCGTCGCGTAACTATCAGTTTACCGACAACACAGCAGCGACCGGGCCGGTATCGCATAAGAGCAATAATCTCAATGCTCTTGTTGAACACACGAAGATAAGAAACAGGAAGGCGCGAACAAGCTCTCAGCAGGTTTGGCTATTGCGAACCTTCAGGATCGCGTCAAAGCCGCACGTGTGCCGCACGTGTGCGGAGTAGCCACAATTGTTGGCCCGGTTCCCCACCAGTCATGTCATTAACATACTTCAACCTAAGGGCCCATTAACCGTCGACTATCAACTAGCACCCTTCAAATAGCTCCTGTAAAGTCTCGATTGTCTAGAAAGCTATTGCATTTCACTTGCATCGTTTGCGCACTTCCGTTCTTGCTGTGCCGTCATCATGCGTTCATCTTTTCCTCTTAGTGCGCTTATGGCGCTGGCGAGCGCTGCCCCTTACGGCCCGCAAACACCATTGAAGAACATCTTGGAGAACACGGACAAGAGTGAGAAATACACGTACCCTACGGATTTCACGAGGAACATCCTCCCGAAGCCGTTTCACAGCCACAATGATTACTGGCGCGACGTCCCATTCTATTCTGGATTGAGCCAGGGCGCCATTTCAACTGAGGCTGATGTTTGGCTGTTGAATGGCACGCTATACGTAAGTACGATGGGGTCCTCCCCTGCCTCGGAATAGGACCCATGTTCAATTGCGACACGGCTAACATTGCAAAGGTTGGACACGAGCCTGCCGCTTTGACTGACAGACGTACTCTTGAATCTCTCTACATCCAGCCTATCCTGGATACTCTGCACCGCCAGAACCCAGACACTCGCTTTGTCCAGCCAGGCGAGCAGAATGGAGTGTTCGATACGTCTAGTGGCCAGACACTTTACTTTTTTATCGATATTAAGACAGCAGTCGACGAGACTTGGCCCGCAGTGCTAGCAGCCCTGGAACCTCTACGAAGTGGTAACTGGTTGACGACCTACGATGGCAAGACTCTTCGCAAGAACCCCGTCACCGTTATTGGAACCGGCAACACCCAGCTCTCTGACGTGATCGCGTCGTCCCCACGCGATGTGTTCTTCGATGCGCCACTTGCGGAACTCAACTCTACCAAGTATGCGAGTCTCTCGGCCAACGAGGCACCAATCGCATCCACAAACTTTGCGTCATCTTTCGGCGATGTGCGCAAGCGCGAGTTCAATGACACGCAGCTGGCGACACTGAGGAGCCAACTTGATGGGGCTCATGACAAGGGAATCATGGCCAGATATTGGAACCAGCCGGCTTACCCTGTTGGAACCAGGAACGCAGTATGGAGGATCCTCTGGGATGAGGGTGTTGATCTGCTCAACGTTGATGACCTGGCGGGTGCGGCTGAATTTTGGGAGGGAACCGGCTAGATAGGATGATGCCGGTTTTAGAAGACACGTGACGATATAGAACGGCACATCAGAGCCCAAACTAAAGCCGTCTAATTATAATTCATGATATGCCCCAATAGGCCCGAAAGAACGACACACATGTCGCGTGGGTGATGCTGTTCTGTGCTCGAACATGTTCGCTTAGCATGCGGCTCTTGTGTTCCTGCAGAAGCTTATCCCTGTAACCCCAGATTACGTACACATGCCCGAGATTTTTCCAGCCCTCAGTCGTCCCAGCGATTGCGCTCTAGATTCCATCTGATATTCACTGTCGTCATCAGAGGACCCTTCTTAAACATTTTTACCACCTTCACCCGACGTCTAGCCTGTCATCTTCTTTCGTGGCTGAGCTACCAGCTGGTTGTACTCTGTCACCCACGCTCCCAGCACGCGTCTTACCCGCCACCTAATTTCAGTGACGGAAGCTACGGATGTGCGCCACTTCTCGCGACCTTCCAATCGAAGAATACTGAAGACATTTGTACGTTGGCGAGGGCGAGTGCAAGTGTACGCCTTGAAGTCTGCGACTGAGAAAGTCTTTGGGATCTCGTGGCATACGTCATAGCAAATATGTTTCCTCCGGCACAAGGCTTGCGCCTGGATATCGATGCCATCAGCCAGATTTTTGGTTCGATAAGTATCGCATGCTGGATCGGTATGTTCTTTTGATCCTGCATTACTGCGAATTCATGCAACGAGCCTGTCCTGCGTTGTTGCACGACTGAAGTCCACCTCGGCTAACTTGCGTTTCAGTGGTCTTCTCACCTCAAATCATAGAAAACTGGAAGAGAAGCTCGGCAGATGGTCTGTCGGTTGTTTTCATCGTAGTATGGCTTCTCGGAGACTTCTTCAACATCATAGGAGCGGTGCTCCAGGGTGTCCTGCCGACAATGATCATTCTTGCTGTGTACTACACACTGGCTGACATTGTCTTGCTTCTTCAATGCTTCTGGTACAAAGGCTTCACCTTACGCGATGACTACAAGAAGCCTGAATCGGACGACGATAGTAGTGTGGCCAGCGAGCAATCACCACTTCTTTCCGATCGCAGACCACAGTCAAACGGATCCCCATACAACAACAATAATGGCAATGGGATCGAAGTACAGCGACCGCGCATTTCCGATATCGACCGACGTGGGTCTGGCCACTCCCAAGGATCATTCCGCGAGCGCTTTCTGTCGATTGACGGCACACATCTCTCACCTGTCACACCGCTCCACGATGACCCCACATCGGGACGTCGGAATAGTGTGATTGCGGTCAGGCAGCAGCCCCAATCCAGCCTGCAAACGATCATCTTCAATCTTGGCACCATTGTCCTCGTATGCGCCGCCGGTGTCTTTGGCTGGTACCTCAGCGCCCGGAACTCGCCCGCCCCCAGTCCGCCTGACGAGCATGACCCCTCACCTGAATCTAGCTTGCACTTCAATTTCTGGGGTCAGGTGTCCGGATACGTTTGCGCTGTACTCTATCTTGGGTCACGTGTTCCACAGCTCCTGCTCAATTACCGCCGCAAGTCCACCGAAGGCATCAGCATGCTATTCTTTCTGTTTGCCTGTTTGGGCAACCTGACGTACGTGCTGAGTATCTTGGTATACAAGCCCAAGTGTGGCAACGGCGTTTGTCGAGACGGTGAGGGAAGGGCTGAATATGGCAAATATATCGCCGTCAATATGAGTTGGTTACTGGGCAGCTTCGGCACTCTCCTATTGGATGCAGGCGTCTTTGTCCAGTATTTCATGTACAGGAAAGACGATGAGAGCGACGAGGAGTAGCAAAAAGACATGTGAGATCCCATGGAGATAGAAGCTCCTGGCATGTTCTGCGCATCATACGCAGCGAGCATACCGTTAATCATCAGAATGTACAATACAAAAAGCGGGTTCTTGGATTTTCAAGCGCTCACTAGTCCATCGATGCCTGAGGTCTGCGTTTGCCGGTCGATCTCGATGACTCTTGCTGAGCGATGTACGCTGCGTTTGTACCGATCTCGCAGCGTTTGCTCTGGGCGGGTGGATGCCCCAGCTGGCCTCGACACTGTTATTGTAACGGCTCAATATATGAAGTTATCAAGTCTTCTCCAGTCCATACTTATTCTTCCCTCACATCGAAAAACATTCTCTTCTTTGCAACCCAAACTCATCAAATCACACTTCATCGGCATCCAAAGCTATAACCTCCATCATGGCGATACAACCCCAGTTGAAAGGTAACTTGCCCATGTCCATTTCCACAAACCACCCCACTAACACATGACAGTAATCGTTTCCGATGCGGTCGCTAGAGCAGAGCCCCTCCCCTACCCCTACCCCAAGCACTTCGACGACATTGAAGCAGCCAAGGCCTATGTCGAGAGCATTTGCAAGAAGAAGGACTTCAAGTACTCCAACGTCCTCACCTTGTCATTCCAACAGAAGGAGTACATCAAGGACAAGGTGCACTTCATCGTCGCAGCCAAGGCATTCGAACAAGGCGAGTTCTACCTGAAGAAAGCAATGGAAGACAGGAACGCGCTTCGAGGTATGTTCCCCCATGCCTATTCCTCCCCATATCATCGTCTTCACTTGGAACCCCATCCACTAACCCACCTAACAGCCTCCATCGAAGCCGACATCCACCGCATCCTCAACATCATCAAGCCCTCCGACTGGCCGCGCATCTTCCTGGACGCCCAGCTCGCAAAGCACTTTGTGTCTCGCGCCTGTGCTGCCAAGAACTTTGCATACACGGATTTCCCGGGCGTCGAAAAGGCAAAGTACATGGGTTTTGTGGATTTCAACACTGCGCGCCATGCTTTTGAAGCCGGCTTCTTCTTGACCAAGGAGCGGCCGCCCAAGGGCTGGGTGTGCAAGCCTCGTTTTGTTGCGAAGGGTGCTGAGAGGGGGATTCAGAAGCGTCTGCCTGTGACTAGGGTGGTCGCTGGTGGTGCTTTCAAAGCTGCTGCTTTTCCTCCTGCTGCTATGGTAAAGCCTGCTGGTAGTCCTGCTGCTGCCATGGTCAAAGCTGGTGGTATTTTCAGAGCTGTTGGTGGCGCTGCTCCTATGGCAAAAGCTGTGGGTATCGCTCCTGCTATGCTGAAACCCGGTGGTGGTATTACTACTATGGTGCAAGCTGGTGGCCATCCTGCTGCTGCTGGTTCATATGCGACACTACGAGGTTTGTTTCCCCTACCCCCTTCCCTCATCACAAATAGAACGATCCTGCTAACCCAAGATCACAGACGTCATTACAGCAGACGTCGCCCGTCTAACACCCCTCATCCCCACCTGGCCCCTCTACTTCACCTCTCTCAACGACGCCCGCGACCACGTCGCCAACATCTCGCACAACAACTACTTCAGTTACACGTACTGGCCTACCGTAGAACCCTGCCGCTTCCGCCTGTTCGTCAACTTCAACACCGCCAAGCGTGCGCTGCACAATGGGGCGTTTAGCCTTGTCGAGGAAGTTGGTGTGAAGGCGGCGAGGGAAGAGTGGGCTGCGGTTGTTAAAAAGAGTGACGATGCGCTGAAGAGTGGAAATCAGGAGAAGGACGAGGGCGAAGTTACCGACAACGAGGATGATGGATATGGAGATTCTGACAAGATGGAAGTTGAGATGGAGAAGGTCGAGTTCGAGGACGAACAGGAGGGCCATGTTGCTACTCCTGCCGCCGCTGTCGAGGAACCTGTCAACCTGATCGACTTTGACGACTCTGACCGCGACTCAGATGCTGCTTCTATCTCTCCGTTTGACGACTTGACAGGCCGTTTCCGAGATGTGGAGATGGACCCGTTCAAGGTGAGTAACAATGTCCTTTTCCTCGTAGATGGTGTTGTACTAACCTGATTTATCGCAGGTCTTGCTTCCGGTAGCTCACGAGGCTTTCACACTTAAGTCTGCCTCTGGCTAGGCTGGGTTGAGAAAACCATGAGAAGTTGGGAAAGAAAAGTGTTTGTATATGTGTGCATTTTCTTGCTTTGGCTCAGTGTTCACAGGATGGGTGAATGTTGAATGGGAAACACATGTTTCTACGGATGTTTTAACATGGGCTTTGGGAGTCTTGCGTGCTATCTTTATTGACTTATTTCTATCTTTGTAAACTTGTGTTGCGGGCTCGGTATGCCTGGTATACGACCATATCCACCTATTACTTCCACTCTTCAGTCAAAAGAAAGACAGGACAGTAGCTAGTTATTTACATCCCCCATTCATATCATTCATATCTCATCTCCAACCTTCTCTCACTCCACCATTCTATGCGCTGTCACTATCGCCATCGTCGCCATTAATAACAGGCTCCTTCCCCTTCGCCACGCTCTCCGTCTTCTTCACCTGCAGCTTCGCCACCTCAACCTCAATCCCCATCTCGACCTCCCTCCTCAAATTCCTATACAGCCCCAACTTAAACAACGTCTCATACCACACAAACAGGGGAGCCAAGAAAAGCGCCTGAACAAGGTTATCCAGCAAAGCCGGTTTCCGGCCTTCAAACTTGCCGTGCCCGATAAACTGCGCGATCCAGCTTACAAGGTGAACGGCGATGGCAATGCTATTCACTTTGGTCTTGTTATAGCGCTGCATCAGGCGGTTGGACAGCGCGGCCATGGACATGACGACAGGCGTGACAGTGATGCCGGCAAGGTTAGGGGAGAGGAGCAGGTACAATGTCGAGTAGGTGGCTGCGGCTAGGGTGCCGAGGTTGAGGGGGAGGTTGAGGCGCGTTAGGAGGGGGTGGGGTTTCACGGGTAAGACGGGTGTGTTTGTGCCCTGGAGGAAAGGATATTAGAGTTAGCTATGTGTGGTAGATATGGCTATGGTTATGCTGGGGATGAAACGACGTACGAAGAGGAAGCCCGTGGCTAGAAGAATAGGCACGCATGCCATGTGAATGCCGACATTGGTTGGGTCGCGGTGGTATGCGCCATACTACGTCTTACGCGTTAGCTTCGTCTCAATTCCATGGTTCACTGTAAGCAGGTCGGTACTCCGGAAGTATAGGAAATGTAGAGAGAGAGAGGAGCCATACGAAGACGAGGTTCTTTTTCAAATCAAAAACTGGCATTTTGGTACAATCTGAAAAATACTAGTACAACTAAGGTGCTTCTTGCGATAACAAAAGACGTCGGATTTTGCCAGTCGCGTTTTTGCGCAAGTCGTCACCCGGCGAAAAGCGCTTCTATAAGCGTTCGTTCGGGGGTGGAGGAGGAGAGGATGCGGGGAAAGTATCAGGCTGAGAGCGGATCCGGGGCGGGAAACAAGGCCAAGAGGTAGCAATGAAACTCTCCTTGCAGTAAAGTCACCTCCTCAATGCGGCGGCGGGAGGGATGCCGCAGCCTGTTTTTATATGCCCATCTCTTTTTTGGCTGCAGGACGGTTCTTGTTCCTGGTGGTGCTGCTTATGCATGGCATGACATGATCAACCCACCACTTGGTGGCCTCGCAACGGCTGCCGCTTACGGGGGTGCTGCTGCGGCTGGGGATTGGCAGGGCGTAGATGCCGAGGTAAGTTTGCGTGTGTGTGTCGGATGGGTAAGCGTTCCGGATACCGTTGGCATGGCGTTTGGGAGGTGCAGGTGTCATGTGAAAGAGGTGAAGGAGATGGGCACTAGAAGATGCTAGCCTTGTGATGTGCAGGTGTGGAGCAAATGACGGTTGGCGTGGTTTGTGACATGTGTAATCTGACGACGCGAGACTTGGTTATCGTGACCCCCGAAATGATATCGCAAAGTACAGAACTCACCACGCCGACTATGTCGATTATCGAAGGCGGGATGCGTAAAGCGAGGTGAGAATGAATGAGAACTTGTTACGAATAAGCCAGGCTTTCGCCAGAAACTCGTACATCTTAGTTTAGATGTTAACACTGCTGGTACTATAAGAGAACTCTCGAATCGAATGTCGCAATGATAATATAAAGACAGACAAGATTTCTCACCACAGGCCAGCAACGGGGTATAGAAGGAAAGAGCGACAACTGCCGCCACCCCAGCGCACAATATTCCTCCACATTACCGTCCAAACCAACGTCAACCATCATATTTCGATAACGACTAAACGTGCTTCTCTCCCTTTGGCGCTGCTCTAACATATGCATCCGGCTTAGGGAGGCCCTTCTTGCGGAGAATGTACGTGTTCCAAGCGTAGCTCATCTGCGCCGTAACACTCACAGCAGGGCGCTGATCGCCGAAATGGTACAGCTGGGGCTTTGCAAGACCTTCGCGCCTAAGAATATATGTCTTGAACCACCACGGCAGATTCTTCTTCAGTTGGTAGTTCATGTGCGTGCGCGTCGGCACACCGAAGACGTAGTCGAGTTCTTCGAGAGTGCGCTGCTTGGTTTCTGGCAACCACAGGAATCTAGGGCAAAGTTAGCTTTCTGTTATCCGAGCGTAAGATACTCAGCTTACATCATGGCGAGTGCGATAACGTTGAGGCCGGCGTAGAAGCCAAACACGCCTTGGGGATGCATGACCTTGAGCATGCGCGGGAGTGTGAGTGACAATACAGCAGCCCAGAAGTTGTTTGTTGCAACAGCCCATGACATGCCGACTTCACGATGCGAGAGTGGAAAGACCTCTGCTGAGTATCTGAGAAAGGTCAGCTATAAGCATCTTTCCAGCTCAACCGATACTTACGTAAACGGAACTGGCCCCATTCCTGGACTGTAAAAGGCGCCGAAGAGGTATACGAAGAAGGCGATCAATCCCAGATGCGCATCGCTGTCTTTGGGAATATAGTAGCACATACCCGCTACCAGCAGCGTCCAGAACATGTTCGGGAACGTGAACAAGAGCAGTCCGCGACGACCAAAGGTATCGATTGTCCAGACGGCCGGCCACGCGAATGCGAAGTTTACCAGTCCGAAACCAAAGGATGCGATGAGAGCTTCTTTGTTTGTTGCACCTCCCTCCTTGAAGATGGTGCTGGAGTAGAAGGCAATGATGTTGATACCGCACATCTGTTGGCCAATCATAACTATACCTGAAGCCTGCGTCGCGCGCCGGACACGAGGAATGGTGAATAGCTCGATGAAGCGCGTGAAGAAGTTTGACTTGGGGTTGATACCAGCTTCGCGGATCAGTACCTCTTCCTGCTCGAGCAAGCAGTGCGTGTAGTAGAGGTCGCGGGCAGCCTGAAGAGGCGTATTTCGCAGACGCAGGAACGATCGGTAGGCTTTGGCGTAATCCCGCTTCTTCATCAACCAGCGCGGACTCTCGGGCACGAACCAGATGCCAATGACAAGCGGCACAGCTGGGATAAACGCAGATCCAAACTGCAGACGCCAGGATATGGCACCAGAGTTCTGATCAAGTCATGTCAGTAACCGTTTTAGGCAAAGAAGGAAGTATGGGAGAGTATACCATAACAGCCAAATTAGCAACCGTACCAAGGAAGATACCGAACGCGGTCCAGATCTGCCAGGACATGACAAGACCACCACGAACGCTCGCTGGAACATTTTCGGCCGAGAAAACAGGCACAGTGACCTCCTTGAGTCCCATACCAACACCAAGAAGCACACGACAAACCGCCAGCTCACCCCACTTCTGGCTCAAGGCCATACCAAACGGCGCGAGTAGCGAGAAGATGGCCGCAATGAAAATAGTACCACGACGACCACAAAGCTCATTCATAGGATCTATTCTCATCAGCACACGGCCAAGACGTCAAACCATGCATGTCCAACTCACCAGAAATCCACGCGCAAAACAAAGCAATAGCAATATACGGACACGCATTCACAAACCCAATAATCCAACTATTCTGCTCACACGTCCCCGCCGCCTCACACAGCGGCCCCGCATCCGGAATCCCCATTGCCTGGGCAAATGTCAGATTAGCACCGTTGGAGCCCGTCTGGTCCCAGCCCTGGATGGCAGCGGCAATGGAATTGAGGATGACGGTCATGTAGAGGGTGCGCGGGAGCTTGAAGCGGTGTGTGATCTCCTCGCGTAGAGCCGTCTTGTCATCTTCGTCGAGTTCCTCGATGTCTTCGAAGAGGGCGGGGGATTGGGCGACGAGGGCGCCTTTGATGAGGAGGGGTTCGACCGAGGTGAGGTCGTGGGTTTGGGCGAAGGCGGTGACGTTTTTGAGGAGTTGGTCTTTGGTTAGGTCGACGAGGGGGTTGCGGATTCTGGGTGGAGGGTGAGTATGGTTGGTTGGTTGGTGGGTGGGTGGGATGGGGGTTGAGGGTACTTACTCTCCTTCGACGTTTGCTGTTAGGCGGGCGAGACGCTCTTTACGAGCTAGCTCGTCTTCCATGACGGAGGCTTTGCGGTCATGCTGCTCTTCCACGGTAGGCCTGAATGGGGAAAATGGTTAATATTGCACAGAAAGTAGTATACGCCCATCCCCAAGAACACTTACTCAATCTTCATCTCCTTATTCGATCCCGCCATGATGGCAACACCTTGCGCGTAGCAGCAGCCAGAAACCCGTTCAAAGTAAATCTCGTCCTTTCTTCTTTGCAGAAAAGCTCAAGCCAATACAATACACCTGAAAGGTCTAACTCTTCACATATACACTCGAAGAGAAAATCAAGGGAAAAAAAGAGAGATCAATCAAAAATCGAAACTTCGCCTCCGGGAATCGAGGCACTCACCACCCCTTATATCCCCCAACCGATCCCAACACCCTCCCCTTCCCTCCTACCCTCAAAATCTCACACTCGATTGGTCGTAACAAGCCGATCTGCATCTCTTATCACACACTCACGCAACACAGCACACCACACCACAGACATGTCATCTCACCCTTCTCACCACCACCACAACATCAACAATAAAATGCACGACAGCACGCATGCATACGCCAAGCGCCAATAACCCACACCAGCCCTAGCTAAATTCTGCAACAGCATTGTTACAACATCCTACACATGTCCATCTCGGCAGCAGCAGCCCGACGCACCACATACCCAACTTACAACACGTCGAACCGGGTGGCTTGCATATAAAAAAGCTGGCTGGCTTGTGTCTAGCAATGGGCGGTCACATGTCGGTTGTTTGCGCTGTGCTTAGGCGGCTTGGCTTTGTACCGACCGCATGCCCCATGCGGTTATGCTCCCGTGCAGAGTAAGACGCCGGTTCGGTGTTATGCTTGGGAGTGCGATGGGCAGGTAGAAGTCACGTAACGTGATTAAGACGCGTGAGCGCGTTTGAGAGGAGGCAGGGAAGGGGGTTTGAGTATCGAAATTTTAGGGGGAACGGGGGATTGGGGTGTGTTTGCGATCTTCAGTGTTTGTTGGGGTGTGGAGGTTTGGAGGCAACGCACTGGGCATGGGGGTGGGGAGATGGTACGGTACATAGGTACGGTAGCCCACCGGGGGGAATACGGGCGAAAAGGACTTATTTTGCTGACGTGATGGTGCTTGTTTAGGCATGGGGTGGTGGAAAGCTGTTGAGGATTATGGACATGGGGTTGAGACGAAGTACGTACTTACGTACGTGTTCTCATTTTTACTTTCGTGGTTTTTCTTTCTTGCAAGGGTTGAGGGGATGAGGTGGTTGTGGTGGTGTGCGTGAGGTTTCCCTTCGTACAATCGTTTCGATGCGGATACACACAAACCCGATTACACGACTTGGCTTTCCTTTGCGCTGTTGGAATCTCCGTCTGGGCGGCAACAATCAATCGAAGACAAGCGGCAAGACGAGCCAAGCTGCGGAATCCCTTGCTTATCGGTTCTAGGAAGTCGCCTTGGGTAAAGCCTGATAGAGAAACCTGTAAAATTCAGGATTGCAACGATCGTGAGTGCAGCTTTAAATCGCAACGCCACGCGTATGCAATGCCACCTACCTGCCGTACCCAGATGACCGGAATTTGATTTTCTGTCGAGCTTGACATCAGACCAACTGGGCATAACTTACTTGGCCCAGCCAGTCACCACTTCGTTCGCTCAATCACCCCAGCAGACGTAACAGTAGATAATCTCAAGTACACCTCTTGTCCATAGTACGATACCTAGCTAGATGTCAATCCATTATGTTTCTACAGCCAGAACTTACAAGTAACTGTTGAATATATATATCATTTCAAACCAGCATATCAAGACATGCAAATCCAAGATCCAAGAACCCAAGATGCGGAGACGTTGCTTTAATCGGTGTACAACAGCAAGCCCCATCTTTCCCCGCAATCTGCAACCTAACATCCCCTCCCGCCTATTCCTAGCATACCGCGCGTTCTAGCGTGGGCTAGACCCTTGGTAGAACAAGTTCTTGGAAGTCTTGGTGGTTGCAGGGCAGGGAGTGTGGATGTGCGACATGGATACTACACGCATGACACCAACGTCGCAATCACACAGCCTTGCTAGTAGGCTGGTAGCGTAGTAGGCGGGGTAAACTTGTAAGATGTTGGTACAAATGGCGCATTTTCTTTCGCACTGCGTAAACAACGAGACTGTATGATTGATATACAAAACGCTGCCTTTTCTAGGGTCAGGGATGAGAGTTATGAATAATTATACTTGGTTATCTTGCTGAGGCGTCTGCGAAAAAATAAATGCTGGAGCCGCTGGTACCGCCCGCCCACCTAGCATATACAACGTCTTCCCGCTTCTTCTTGGGTACTGCGCCGAGCGCTCATTGTGGAAAAGGATGGTCTTGGGAAGCACTTATGTGGCTTTCTCCCTCTCTGCCTCGAAATGCCATCTCTTTTCAACGTAGGACATATTCGACGATCCATCTACTCCAATCGACGGTAGACCGGTAAGAACTTGGTTGTCTCGACCATGTTATCTCACTACCCACATCAGTATACTGTCTCGGCAACAGGTATGAGACTATTCCATCTCCTTCACTATAAGTCAATATCTCTTGAGCTCAGTGCATCGCGGTTTCTTTGCCCTTCCACATATCACCACTTGTATCCGCAGATCCAGCAAACGCCTGCTGGATCGGAGGCCTGGGTTTGGCCGCAATATCGAGTTCGGCAAACTTCGGTCGCACTTGGAAGATATTGACGCGTGCGGCGTTGAATACCTGCTCTGAGGGCGGTATCGCAACGGCGAGGTTGGTGTTTTCGGTCAGACGTGTGATGAAGAACATGAAGCGACCAGTCTTTATTTGCATTTCGGCGAAGTTGGCGCTGCCAGCGGGTATGTTTGTATGTTTTCTGGTGTAAAGGTTAGCGTGTGTCTTGGGAAGAAAGTCGGGCGTGCGTACGCCATGCTTTGCTTGTGTGTCTTGAGAATGCTTGAAATGCGCTCGAAGCGGTCAGTGAAAGGATTCCCTTCTTCAGTCTGCCGCGTAACGTGCGCGACTGTAAGACAAGTCGTCCGCTCGTACAAGATCAGTTCTCTCGCATCGATAACCTCGGCCAACTGTTCTAGAAGCGCTTCAATTGTGCCCGCATTGGGTATCAAGTAGTAAATAATCTTCGTCCATGCCTTGTATAAGCTCTGGTCCCAAATGCTTGTTGCGAAGAACTCGACCGTATCCTTGAAGCCCTCGCTGGCCTCCCTGATATACTCTGCGCGCTCGTCGAACATGGCTTGCCGTAGACGTGCTTGTACGAGGTCCATTTTGTGTATGAGACAGAAGACCTTGGCACTGGGACTGCATTCGTGAAGAGCACGGATGATGTTGGAGTAGGAGACGACATCGGCTGCGAATTCGCGGGATTCGATATCGAAGACGAAGATAAGAACTGCTACGGAGCCGAAGACGTGGGTTCGCGACTGGTTGAGGTAATTCTCGACGAAGCCGTCCTGACTGCGACGAGTCAGTTTGAAGTAGCTGCGTAGGCTGGCTATTGATGGGCTCACCCTCCGCAATCCCAAAGATTCAGCATGAGGTTTCCCATGAATTTAATATTACTGTGCTCGACGTCGATGGTCGCTCCTAGGCGGCGGACATCTTTGGCTACGTAGTTGCTGAAGACGATGCTCCTCATCGACGACTTGCCCGCCCCGCTCTTGCCCATCAGCAGCACCTTGCGCTGCTTCTGGCGCTTGATGGAGTTCATCTCGACTGTGGCTCGTAGTGGAAGCTATGGAGCTGTTGGGTGGTGGGATGACGCACCGCAAGCACCCGTAGACACCAACAGCGCATGTGAGATTCTGAGCTTCGACGGGACCTCCCGGGATGCACCTACCATTCCTTGGCAGTGGGGCACTTCCGCTCTCCGCACTCTGCTGCAGCAATCATGCGACTCACCCTTGCCCACCCATGCTCACTCAGTCACCCTTGCACTTGCTATCGACAAGCTTGAACTTGGCCGTAGCGGACCCAGAAACAATTTCGCCTTCACGTTGTCCATAAGCACTCTCGGTCAAATATAAAATCCCATGACTTCGTATATGCCCAAGTGGCATCATTTATTTGTGGGGAACATGGAACATGCCATCTTCATTCAACAGGGTCCGATTCGCAACTAGCTGTTGAAATGTTACCCAAAAGTTACCTAGTAACTATCCAAGTATTACGACAAAGGAAAGAGATAGCCGAGGCCGCCAGCGCTTCACAGATAAGAAGAAAGACGTGAGCCCGGCTAATGTGACAAAGCAGAATGTATAGACAAGAAGCTGTGTGCCACCAAAATCGACCGTCAAGATCGTGCATCATAAGAATCCAATCCACTTGGCTGCAAACAGAAGGTCCTTGTTGCGGCGTGGGCCAGGGCTACCCTTAGGGAGATCGGTTACGTGCTTCCGCTGCACGAGGGTCCATATGTAAATGAAGCGAAAGAAAGGCGGAACAAAAGAAGAAAGGGGTATCTTAGAAAACAGTGCCGTCCGAGAGGATCATGATCGGCGGTTCTTTGGTGTTGGGCCGCGACACTTCGGCAATTTCTCGACCGCCCTACAGTTGCGAGTCAGTGAGCTTCTAATGAATCGTCGTGGAGTGCCGACTTACCTTCCAACTACCGGCCTCGAGCATTTGCGCCAGACTGAGTTTCTCCGACCCGCTCAAGCGGAGTAATTGATTTACGTCAACCAAAAGGTCGTCGAGGAGGCCCACGGTGACAGCGCGCCACTCGACAATTACGTCGTCGTCGGCAGTGAACATGGGGACGACTTCCATGCTCGGTTGTCCTTTTTGTTCGGCATTGCGTTGATATTGTGCGAGGCCACGTTTTGCGTCTTCGGGTTTGAGTGTCAAGAGGCCTACGTCGATGAAGAGTCCACCGTTTCGGTATTCTGGAAGGCCAGTGAGGAGTTCGGCACCGGCAAAGTGAACGTGGAGTAGCCTAGTCATTGGGACCATGAGTGAGTATGTCATCCATTGAGTGAGTTTGTGGAAGGGAACAATGTTCTCCCATGGATGTGTTGGATGCGATGGCATGACAGAACACGGCCATGCGTCCCCCATAGGTACGCCGTCAATTTGAGTTCTTGATGCTGGCCAAATGGGGGTTAGGCTTTCCATGAGGGTATTCCAGAGTGTGGGAACAGGAATGATTGGGACGGATGAAGCTTGTGTGGTCGGATGCGAGAGGAGGTAGTCTGGTTGTGTTAGTAAGAATTAAGGGGACAGTGCATTGATGCGCATACCAAGCATGTTTCCGGGCCGCGCTTCTAGGCCAAAGACCTCTGTATTTTGGAGTGCTTCTGCGAGACGGAGTAACAGACATGTGCGACCTTCGAGGCCGTCAATTGGGTTCGTTGGAGTGACTTGCAGGCCTCGCGCTACTGTTGTGACATCCAGCTTCTTCAGCCCCGCACTGTCGACCTGGAAGGGTTCCCGTGGGTCGCTGCTGAAGGCGCCGGCCTTGAACATTTCCAGACTGGCTACGGCAAGACCCTCGCTGCGGCGGTAGATTTTGCCGGACTCCTTGCTCTTGTATTGCCATTTGGTCCCCGCGCCAGCGTCAAGGAGAACCGAAACCAAGAAAAGGTCGAGGAGGCGGCGCGTGCGCTCTTGGTTATCCACCGTAGATGGCCATGACGCCATGAGCTGGTCGATGCGCGGCCGGCCACCGACGTCAAAGTGCTGCCACCGGCCGTGGGGAGGGATTGAGGCGTAGTCGGGCGCATAGTCGCGCTGAAGAAGTGTTAATGACTTGGATGCGGTCGCGCGACACAACATCTTCTCTTACCTTGATTATCGACACTACGAAGCTGGCGACATCGCCAAACTTGGACATGTCTACGGTAAAGTGCTTGAGCTGATTCTTCTTTGCCTTTTCCAGCACGAGCTTGGAGCGCTCGCGCACGGCGTAGATGCTGCGCAAGTAGCCGGCGGGGTCCAGCGTTGGGTCTGGGGCCTTTGGCAGAGGCACATCTGGAAAGCTCGTGGGGCGGGATCCGTTTGGCGTGGGTCCAGGAGAGCGCAAGGAGCCATTGGAGCTGTTTGGCTGGCTACCGTTGGGTGAAACCTGGGGCTTTGAGCCCTTGCGACTGAAGAGACGCATACTGGTGGCAGCGGCGACGGACGACTCTAGATACTGGCAGAAGGCGCGTTTCGGGCGAGGTTCGCTGGAGAAGGGAATTAGGAAGGCACGTCCGCTCGGGCAGGCTGCTTCAGTCCTGCAGAGGCGGATGGTTCGTTGCGGCGAGTGTGAGCGCCTGTGCAGAAACGGTACCGGGAGATCCCTGGACAAACTCGCTGCGAGCAACTTACGCTGCTGGTGGCGGGCCCTGTGTGCGGAATGCAGAAGAGACGCTCACGTGAGCTGCAAGCAACCTGTGGTTGAGCGGACGGGAGGTGTTGAGGAAAGGAGCGGTCCGCGAGGTTGGAGCTGTCGCGACAGAGGGGGCGAACGCGTCGTTGCTGGTTGCATATAGTAATGTATCTTTCGCAGCATAGGACTGGAGACGGAGACGACCCCTGGCTCTTCCGCGTCAATGGACGGCACGACATGGACAGTGCTAGTGGGGCAGCAATAAAGTAAAGCCTGTACCGACATATCCAAGTGCACAGTGACATGCGCTTCTCCAAGCGCGCACCAGCGGCGACGTCGTGCTGCAAGCCTCTTTGCCTAGTTACTTACGTCTCCTGAAATGACAGAACTACGACATGGTTGGACAATCACTCACCATACTGGCCAATTCCAATTCCAATTCCAATTCCATTTCCATTTCCATTTCCATTTCCATTTCCATTTCCATTTCTCACTTCCTAGGCTAGCGACGGCTCGTAGTTGTGTGCACTGGGTGCAAACTCGCAGCAAGACCGCTAAGAGTGCCTAGACGAATCCACAAAGCTCGAGTCATCAGCCCATCGCTTACATCGGGGTCGCGGGATGCACGAGTCTGATACCGTGGCCGCGGGTTTTACGGCTCGGCAAATCCACCATGTTATCTGAGCACCCACTGTGGTCTGTCCTCTCCCGTCCAGGCACGAGCTGGCTGCTGTGCAGCTGCCAGCTGCCTAATCAAACCGTCCCGTTAGCAGAGTTTAGCACCATCTGCTATTACACAGAGGTCTAACCTTGGCGGCGGCGGCAGAGCAACCACGCTTCTCCGGACGAGAGCCGTCCATGACATAGGGCTCGCGGCTTCGGGTGCCGTGCCGTCCACGAGTAATGTTAATTACGTCCCTTCGGCCCGAGTCAGATTGTGAGCCCACCGAGCCGAATTGTGTCGATTCGAAGAGACGGCTGGCAAACCAAGGCTTGCAATGCTGGCTCAGGGGTCGCACAGTCGGGACAGTCCGCTCGTGCAAGGACGTGTGCTGTGACTGTGCAGTCTCCATCTCCGCGGTCGCGGTGCGAATCAATTCTTGGACCTGGCAGGGCTATAAATGTGCCCGGCGCTCAACACCTCGTTGGAGGCAAACCCCCGCGTGTTTACCAAGCACTGCATACGACACGGTCGTAAGCTCGGAGCCACCGCTCGCTCTCATGCAGCTGCAGGGTACCGAAGCAAGCATCCGCTCCAGGGACACACGACGAGTGGCTGCAAGTGCGCGGCCTTGTCCGTATGTGCGGGGAGCTGCAAGCTTGTACGGAGCTCCGTCACTCTATCTGCGACTTATACTGCATGTCGGCAGAGCAGTTATCGACATTTGTTTTTGTGCAAGAGCCACCGTATATGTTATTTCACGACATCAGATGGAATTGTGCTAGTCGGACACTACCACTTTACCCGTGTATATGTGACGGCATATACGAATGGCGCATACTGGTGGCATGGGTACTACGACGACGACGGGCGCTAGCTCCCTGCATATGTCACGTGGTGAGGCGGTGCAGCGGTTGTGGCTTGTATCTGTGGCTTATACCTGTGGCGCGATGCCGGCAAGCGCGACTGACATCTGGCAAAGCGGTCAATACGACCGAGTGGACGTTTGATGTACCCAACGCGCAATGATATGACAGTAGCTGCATCCTCCTCGCAACCCCTGACACACTATCTGGATCACAATGGATGACCTAGCTGGCCTCGACTGGTCGCAGCCCGCCAAAAAGACAGCCAACACCCCCGCGGCCTTACCACCATTCCGCCAGAGCCCCACGCCTCAGCTCTCTGGACGCTCCACGCCGCTCTCTACGCTATCTATCCAGCAATCAGGCGCGGGGACGAGCTCCAGTAGTACTCAGCCTTTCAAGCCGCTCTCGAAACCAGCGACGCCCGCAAATGACAGCTTCGCTGCCCTCGTGTCCTCCAACAAGCCCAAAGCGTCAGCAAACAATCTCTCACTTCAGGAACGACAAAAGCAGATACAGGAGGAGAAGGCAAGGGAAGAGGCGGAGAGAAGGAAGCAATGGGATACCACCTTCGGAGGTGCCGATTCTAAGCATTGGGATACATTAGGCGGCGGGGGTACCGCTATCGCACCTGAGCCAGCAATTGTTGCGCCGCGTCCATCGAACAACCCATTTACGAACCTGGGCCTCTCCAAAACCATCAACAAGCCATTCGCAGGTCTCGACACTAGCTCACGGCGTCCCGAAGTCAACTCACCCAATGAGGCTGATCTCCTCGCAGCCTTCAACTCAGCAGCGCCTGTAGACAGCTCGAGTTACTTCCCAAAACCGTCGCAAACGAGCGGCCGAAGCACGCCGGCATATAGCGCGAATGTCTCCCGCGGCAATACCCCGCTACCACAACCCTCTTCCAACAACAATGCGCTTCTGGACGATGATGATGACATGTTTGGTCTCAAGCAAATGTCACAAAAGGCTACTGCGCCCGCACCACCACCTCCGACCAACGAGGCCGATGATGATATACTAGGGTTACTAGGGAAGCCTGTGTCTGAGTTTCAGCAGAGGGAGGAGCCTACACCAGTGGCTGAGGAGGAGCCAGAGTCTCGACGACGACCGGAGCCAGGCCCCCAAAACGCCCATGACAAGGCTGTTGCTGAACTGGTAGATATGGGCTTCCCAGCTGAAAAGTCTGCGATTGCGCTCGCTACAACGGACTCAGGACTAGATGTTCAGGCCGCAGTGGGGTGGCTGTTGAACCAAGCACACGCCGAAGCCAAACAGAAGACACAGTCGCGGAGTCAGGACAGGACACTTGATGATCCCGAAGAATTCGACGACCGCCCTCGACGGGGAAGCAGCAGAACTAATGCGCGAGAATCTTCAAGAGAATCTCGTGCCGCGAGACCAGCGTGGATGAAAGACGACGATGCGCGAAGCCGGTCTGGCCAACGTAGGAACGAAGGCCAATCACAAGAGAAGGATGTAACACAGATGGCTTCTGAGATTGGTAACAACCTCTTCAAATCTGCAAACTCGCTATGGAAGACCGGTCGCAAGCAAGTACAAAAGGCAATGGCCGACTTCCAGCACGAGGGTGACTCCAACATGCCCAAGTGGATGCGAGATGCTCAAGCTGCAGAAGCCGCCCCTCGTTCAAGTAGACAGCAAAGGGCTGAGCAGTCAGCTACGGATGAAGCTATGATGCTGGAAGCTGGAGCTCGTCCTACCAAACCATCTCGAACGAGCGACATGCGCCAACAGGCTGAACCGCTACCCGTGCGACAACGGAGAGAGGAAGAAGTCGGACGAAACGGCCGCCCAGACCGCATGTCATCGCAATCGCCATCACAACGACAACAACCCCAGAGTTTGGACAAGCGACCAGCCACGCGACTGACACGCCAGGAAGTAGAAGAACAAACCCCTCAAGCATATGTGAGCCCAGCACGCCGTAAGAAGACTACACCGCAGCCGCAACCACAGGTGGATCTTTTTGCTCCAGAACCGACTCCACCAAAGCAATCTACCCAGTCTAACAACCCCTTTCTTCAAGCTACCTCAGCCCCGAAAGCTCGAACTCCAGCTCGTACACCAAGTCCACCAAGACCCAAAGCACCACCACGACGGGTTCCTCCGGTATCATCCTCCGCTCTCAGTTCATCTTCAGCTGACCGGCAAAGAGGATCAGAAGCGTTCAAGCGTGGAGACTACTCGGCTGCCCATGCTGCCTACTCTTCTGCTCTCAGTCCTCTTCCACAGTCACATCCCGTGACCATTATCGTGCTCTGCAACCGCGCAGTCACAAACATCAAAGTTGGTGACCCGAAAGCCGCTATCGCCGATGCAGATGCAGCATTAGCCATCATTGGCGTGTCACGCGGAGAGGGTGAGAAGATTGCCACGGGCGGCGTTGAAGGCGAAAAGGACATGAAGGAATTCTACGGCAAAGCCCTCATGCGCAAAGCCGAAGCCCTCGAAAACATGGAGAAGTGGGCAGAAGCACACGCCGTATGGAAAGAAGCAGTACAAAATGGTGTCGGTGGCGCGATCTCTATCTCAGGCCGCAACCGCTGTGAGAAAGCCGCAAGCGGTGGCAGCAACTCCTCCGCCGCAGCACCAAAACGTCCACCACCAGTCCGCAAGCCCGCTCCTCCCAAGGTCTCGGCCCTGTCTGATCTAGGTGGTGGAAGCAGCCTTGCAAACGACTCCGAGGCAGTCAAACGAATGAAGGCTGCCAACGCCGCTGCCGAACGAGCAGACGATGAGAAGTTTGCTCTCACTGACCAGGTTGACGCCAAGCTCATTGCGTGGAAGGGTACAAAGGCTGATAACCTGCGTGCCTTGCTCGGTAGCTTGGACAAGGTACTCTGGGAGGACGCCGGGTGGAAGAAGGTCAACATGGGAGATTTGGTCATGCCGAACAAGGTCAAGATTATCTACATGAAGGCTATTGCCAAGGTGCATCCTGATAAGGTACGTTTGTTCTTTTTTTTCTTCGGTTCTTGTTGTCGGTTGTAATATCATCAAGTCGATGGATATGGCTAACGATGTGTGTTACAGATATCCCAGGCAGCAACGACGGAGCAGAAGATGATTAGTGCAGCTGTCTTTGCGACGCTGAATGAGGCATGGGATAAGTTCAAGGCGGATAATAACTTGTAGTTGTAGCGGTCACTCGTAACTGATGAAACCTCCTCGTCTCTCTGTCAACATCAAGCTGAACGTCATGTGAAAGAATTTATGATAGTTGTTCGATTACCCCTTTCTCTTTCTACATGGACGTCCTCGTCTATTAACCAGCGCCTCTAACCTTGCACACCATACTTCCTCACCCCTTCGAATCAACTGCATCTACCACCCGTCTTACTTCCTCCATCAACTTAATCTCCGCCCATCCCCATCTTTCACACCCTCCCAAGCAGAACCAACACCGGTATCCCGAACACATGTAACAAAACTGAAACACACAAAACTGACTTCCGCATCTTAACACACCAATATATACATACCCACCAGGACCTGCCTTACCCACTTCCCCACTTCAACGCACATAACCTGCCGTACTACGGCCGCAGCCGCAGCCGGTGTCCGCGCTTTCCGATGATAGCCGATTAGCCGGGTTCATCGTGCACACTGCTGACTTGGGCAATCCAACGGGTGGTGGAAGAGGTTTGTATTGTTGTTTGTATTTGATGGGGTTTTGAGGCTCAAAGGTTACTACGAAGCAGGTTTCGTGGTAGAGCACTGAAAACCGTAGATACTATACTTATCAACCCAACCCAATCCCGCAAAAGAACCCGCAGCAACGAGATAATCCCCCCTCTGTCAAATGTGGTAATGGCAGCGTTCCGTTTCACCAACGTATATTTGTAGTAGTTACAGCGACAGCCCCAGCAACAAACCACCAGCACCAGTGACACTACAATGCACTCTATTTTTATCCCCGCAGCTTGCCTCTTACATCTTCCCCTCCTACTAGTAAGGGTCCTCATACATACATACAGATACTAACACATACCTACATATACCGCACATTATATCTCCATACCCTGCCAATACCTCGGGGGAATTATGCCCATAGCACTTACTTATAGAATTAAGAATGGGTAGGTCGATCAAGAAACACGACTAGCAAAGTGGATGTGGATATGTGATGTTTGGACTGATATCTGGGTCCAAACGGCGGCGCGGTCCGGTATGTCATTGTTATGTGATATGAGGCGATGTATAGGTAAGGGGGTGTGACATGCTGAGTAGGTATAGTATAGTTTTACTATTGTGATTGACGATGGATTTAGTATAGTAGCGGTGTAGTTATCGGTGGTATACACATCATCGTCAGAAACCCACTCCCCACGGCGACATGGCGCAATTGCTGTGTCGATTGAGTTTGTGAGGCTTCTCCGCCGCTCGCTATCCATGACATGAACCCCTACGTTCCGCGATACCCTTTATTTCCGTTACAGCAGCGTCCGTCACTCGTCTTACCTCAAATATAAAACCTTACTTTGCTTTTTGCTAGCCCTCTCGATCCAGACGCGCGGAAAAGCTTCAGCCTATTACCTCGTATCGAGAAAACTACTACCACGACCGACCGACAGCACACACTACACTACACTACACTACACTACACAACGCATATATGCATGCACACAAGACGCACGTGTACGTAGCCCCAAAACTAACCCTCCGCCAACACACGGAACTCGTACGTAGCACAAACCCTAAATCACCGGTAGTCTACGCGTATAGCCGGAGACGAGAGGGGAGAGAGGGGAGGTTCGTTAAACACCAAGGGGACAAAACTCCGGTACGCTAAAGCAAAAGGGCAAGCAAAACATACGTAACAGGCAACCTGCGTCAAAACGGGTCCGCTCTTTGCCCCCCCTTTTGAGTGAGCGGCAAGTAATCCCATTGAGGCAAATGCACTTTCCCCCCCCCCCCCCCCCCACCGTATACCGGATACCGGCTCTATCCATGTAAAGAAAAACCATAATCATCCGTAGCGTGCGTGCGTGACGGCGGCGTTGGCAACTGGATCGAGTGTCTTGTCGTAGTGCCGGCCAAGGGTAACGTTACTTAGCTACAGTAACAATAAACCTGGGTACTGTAAGCGCTGGCGTTTTTGGGCACATTGGCGTCTTGGAGTGGCCGCGGCGGGACGAGAAAATAAGGTTGTTACCAAGACACAGAGTGTCGCTGCGCTGGGTTTGGTGAGATCAGGATGGGTGGTGGAGGTAAGGTTGCCGAACCCAATGTGTTGGCTCAGACAACACACATGCCACACTTGGGTGTGTGTGTGCTGAGGTGGCCTGTTCGCCTTTCCTCATCTGATGACTTGTTCTCACTCAGTCGTGTGCTGTCCTGGTCTGTTCTGTCGGTCCCTCACCCCTCATCACGCACGGTACATAAGCAAAAGTCAATCTCTCGGTAAGTAGTTTGGTACGCCATCGTCTCAGCTTACGTGTGGGCAGCTCTTCGGTGAAGCTTCGGTACTTTTTCGCCGAAGAGGGCACGTATTCTTGATGGATGGGGTGGGGTGTGTGCGTTGAGTGTTTGCTTTTTCTTTCTTTTTTGCGGGGTGGGTGTGTGTGCTGCATGTCATGTACGGTGTGTGATTGAGCGGCGTGACTGCGGACAAAATATTGAGGCTTACCTTTGCTGTGTTCTTTTTTTACACCTGAGAGCTTTTGTCCTCGATTCGAAGCATTACTTGCCGTGGTTTGATTTGCCTAGTATATCCTTTCTGACCCGACTTATTTTCCCACTCGGCGCGAATTGTACCGCATTCAGTCGGATTGCGCGCCGGCAAACGTTCCTTCGGTTTTGAATAACCTGGTAGACCCGGAATACGAATTGGCCAGCTTCTAATCAAACGACGCAGGTCATCGGTATCCTCTCCTGTAAGCCATAAGCGTGTACTGTGGCTTGGACCAAAAGTGATCGCCCGGCATGCATTGCGGCACAATTTTTAGCTTCTGGCACGTGCTGATGCAGGCATAGGTAGAGTTGATCGGTAGTTATCAGTGTGGTCCATGTCGTCATGACTATGCTCTCCTTACTCCAGCAAGCTAATTTAGCGGGCTAACTCCCCTTGTTATCGGTGTGAAGCCCGGAAACTCCCAGGGCGCAGAGGCGTATGTGATCTGCCGGGGCTTTTCGTGGAGGGGTGTGATAGATGAGCTGGGGTGTATGTGTCTGTGTGGAAGGCTGGATCTTGAGAGGTCGAGGTCGATGCGTCTGATGCTCAGCTGTAGTTACACAACACACGGGTCTTTGGGACGATATGGCTTGGGGATTCCCGCAGCCCGCATGGTTCAACCCTGTGTTCCGGCCGTCTCAGGGTGGATGTAGTACCCGAAGTGCAAGGTACGGGTAATCACACATCCCGCACAACGGGAAGTAGAAGCAGATGGAAGTGTTGTGCTAGGATGTACTAACGAAATCTCGTTCATCTCACCCAAAACTTGTGTTTCACCGTCAGCAATATGAAGTTCGCCGTCGCAGACTCGTTTCCGACGCGGAAGGTTTGCAAGATGTTGGATTGCTCCCAAGCTCATGTTGTCATTGGCTGCATGCGCTAATGTGGCAGCTTGTCCTTTGGCTCATCAAAGAGACTGCGCCTAGCTTTTTAGTGTATCAATGTCGTAAAGTGCCGCTCCATAATATAGTACCGAGAAATTCGAAAGACAATGCGTGAAGGTGAAGACAAGACATTGTGTGACCCATAATATGACCGAAGTTCCTCCCTTTCGAACGCCCATGCTTAGAAGCCATTCTAGCCCTTTTGACTACAGCTGTAGGAAACTGTACAAGTACAAAAATGTGATATTACAAATTGTAGCCAGTGTTGAATATATGGTGGCCTTGTCACTCATGCCGACCCGAGTAGCCGCGTTACTGGTAATAATGTACGGTGGTTTGATGTCCATGCAGCTCCGACATGATACCAATAGAAGCCTGCAGTGACCTGTCAGGAGAATTTTTGATGCTTTGCTTTTCTGTTCCAAGCCATGGCTCACCGGCCGTAAGCCAAAGGCTGGAGCTGGGCGACTTCATGCGCCTGGAATACAACGACGGGACTTTGGAGCCGAGACATGCCCACCAAGTGCGTTTTTATCCGTTGCGACCATATGCCGACGATGGAGGTATTGGTAACGGTGATTGGTTGCAGGGCCGCTGCATACGGGGAGACGACTACTGTCCCGTAAGCTGACCAACAACGCCGAACAATAATTGGTCCTCGGCCTTATACAGCGCATCGTCGTTTCCAAACGCCGTTTCGAGACTGTTGCTGATTCTCCAGAAATTGCCATAAGTTCCATTTCTGGTGCCCTGCCTGTCTTGCGCGGCGATATCCGTGAGCTGCCTAATGCGATTCGACACCGCCTTCTGTTGCGACTTGGCCGAAGCCCAGAAACTTGCCAATTCGTCGATACACGTAAGAGTAGTGCTCAGAGTCTCTATCAGGCTCGGTAATGTTGAGACGGTGCCGGCAGAGGTGAGGACATCGATCGAGAGCATGAGCGCATAGCCGGGAAATGGTGTTGAGAACATGAACTCTGACGCGACGGTAGCTGGGAGGCGTTGTTGGCGGTTGACTGTAGCTAAAGAGAGCATGATCGACATGAAGCTGGACGCCATTCGTAAAGATTGCTCCAGGTTTCGGCGTATTTTGTCCGTCGGCAATGCATGTGCTCTGACATGCCGGTTAAGCCGAATTATCGCGGCGTGGTACAGAGCGTGTAATGACAAAAAGGTACCGGCGTAGCCTTCGAGGATACTGTTATCGAGATTTTGTGGGCTGTAGCGAAGGTTGTCCGGTAGTATAGAGTGCCATGCTTCCAGTTTCTCGTAGATCCTCGCGTAGAATGCATCGTAGTGTCGCTCGTATCCAACATCAGGCCGACGTACAGCTCGGCCAGTACAGGTCAATACCTCTCCCCACAATGCTGATATCAAACATAGATATGCCATGTGGCCCAAAGGAGGACTGTGAACGGGCCTTCCGCTCAGAAGTTCATCATCAAAGAAGGGTGCATCGCAGGGTGTCGAGGCCTCATACATGTTGTCCGGACACGGGAGACGGACAAATGCATCTTCCAAGTTAATCACAAAGAGGGTTCCTCCAAAGAAGCCGTTGTATCGCTGTTTTTGAACACAGTCAATGGATGCTGGGGCCCTGGTAATGTCGTAACTTACATCCATTAGTAGTCCAGACCAGAAAGTACGACGACAGCATTCCTCGTAGGTCCAACGGTCGAACCCATAGTCCAGGTCGGCATTGCTGTTAACCAACTCTCTGACACCCTCTTCCGTATTGAGTTTCAGGGCGCTGAGTGCTCGTAGGGCAGACCCACAATAGTCCCATGCTTCTTGCGATTTACCGCGGGCGAAGTAGTACAACGCAAGCATCAATCGAGTCTGGCACAACTGCAGACTGAATTTGCCAAAGCGCTTCTCTGCAGCATATGAGGCAACAGAAGCGAATCGTTTTCCCAGTGCTCTTTTATCTGGATCATTCGAGAACAATGAGCCCATTGCAAGGACGGAGTAGAGGATCATCAGATGGTCTTGGTGCTTGTCGCGGTTGGTCTCCACCCACGCCAGGAAAGGTCTGCGAGGAAACATGCCGTATGTTGCGCGGCCCGCATTAAGAAAATAGAGATTCAGTAGTTGTATGGTAAGCCTGGAATCGGTTTCGAAGGGATCCTGCTCCCACTGGAGGGCAAGCTGGTCAGAGTATGAGCCCCGCCCTGGATCATCCTGATCGTTGGCGGATCCACTCCAATCGGAATCGTATGATTGCACCGACATATCTCTTGCGTTTGTAAGCGTATTGGGACGGAATTTCTGATGTCGAAAGGGTGTACCAGCGTTCCAGGTATCGACTTTCTTTGATGAATTACGAAGCTCTCCTGGAGCTTTATTCTTATCCAAGCTTGCTGCTGGGCTAAGCAGTTCCGAAGAAGAAGTTTTAAATAGCTGACCGGAGTTTGATGGGGACGTCTCTCCGGACGCATTGTTTTGGTTGATTCCACTGGGGTTGGTCAGTATTTGTCATTCTGTAAATACACTTATAGGGGGCAAGTGTCTTAAGTTCATGCACTCCTTAATCTGGAATGAGAAAAAGAACGCAATTGGAGTACAACGAGGTTGACTTACCCTCTGCACACCCTCTGTGACTTTGCGCATTGGTGGCATTTGGGAAACCCAGGCTCACACTTGATTTTCTTCTCTCGACAAGTCAAACAAGCTTGCGCAAGACGCTTACGAGGTTTGCCGGCCTTTGTAATGCCCCACGAAGGATTAACCGCCTCCCCATCTATTATGGCTCGACAGTAGGTGCCATCCTCATAGACGTAACAAAGACCCTCTCCTGGTATGTCGCGTTGGCCAACACACCGCGACGATCGTATTGGCGCGCGAGAAGGACCATCCAAGCGTCTCATCCGAACAGGTCTACTTGGATCAAATCCTAGTTCTGGTTGACTCGAATAAGAGGTGAGTGTTCCCGCTGTTTCGGACGTCGATGAAGGATGCCGATGTCCATCACCTGTCGTGTCATGCTGAGATGGATGCGCGAAACTTGGCCGCCGCTGGAGCTCTATTCGGCCGACGCCAAACCCGGAGCCTGGTTTTGATGTAGTGGACGGGGTGGCGTTTGTGGAGAGGGCCTGTCGGTGGTGGTACGGTGTTTGAGAAGCGATGGCATTGTGCTCAGGATAGCCTTGGACGTAACCATCATATTCATGCCGCCTCTTTAATGTCGGACTAGACGACTCGTAGCGCCCGCAATGGCCGTAAGGCAGCTGAGTAGCCCCTGGTCTCAAGGGCGGCTCTGTCGACTTTTTGTCGAGCAATTCTGGCTCCAGGAGTGTACGCAGGCTCGGTAATTGCTGTGCGTTATTTTGACTACCGGTTGAATCCCGGGGACGAGCGTGTAGGCTGGGAGCAACAATTTCTGGTCGGGAGGCTGATGCATGATGCACCGGATAAGGGCTGTAGGAAGGTGGAGGGCCGGAGTGTGATGGGACGCTGGACGGGCGACTCATGTTGAGGAGCATAGCAGGTACGGTAGGCTTTGACGTTTGGCGTTTGAAGTGGGATGACTTCCACAGTATACCCCGTTGACCGACCACATGAACGGTTATGGAACAGCAGGAGCTATAAAGAGCCTAGAAACTGAAAAGATTTAGGCACCGCTTCAAAGTCAAGTCTGATGCAGACACAGCATCAGCTAGCAGTCAAATTTGTTGGGTACGTGAAGGTACGTGATGAAGTTGGGAAGGTGGCCAGCGAAGTGAAGCGCAATTGCGTGCGTCTAGGCTGCACTTGGAATACCCGCTGCAAGCTATTGCAGTATAGAGAATAGGGCAAAGAATTACCAGTCCGTGCAGAGTTGACGTCTGACGACTGAGCACCGCTCTTCCGGCTCGTTATGAACCGCAACCGAAGCACAAAGCAACAGTGCATGTGAGAGGGTATGTAGGGGCGACGCGGGACGAACTTACAGATGCAGGGGTTAACATATGCGGCGCGGACACAGCTTCTGGGCGCAATTGACACTGAGCACGCCACGAGCACTGCGTCGACTGCTCGCTCGTAAGACGAAGGATAAAAGCAATAAATACGATTATACCGGGTAGCAGAGGTGGAGGTGTGCGGACGACAGCGGGACCCCGTACTCGGCCAGTCGCCAGCTTACCAGGACGCCCTGGTAAAGAACAGGCTTTCCAGGTAGGCCAGCGAGCGATTATCCTAGTGGCGTACAGTGACGGACCGCCAGGGACATGGTCGTGGAGCCTTTACTGTTTGAGACCCGATGCTGGAACCGACTAGGGTGATTCGCAAGCCAGCCGGAATATTGGCTGCAGATATCGAGACGACACCTTCTGCGGGCTGGATAGCGTGGTGCGTGAGACGCAGACTGATGCACGTTACTGCAGTCGTAGATGGCGCGTGGGCAAGGTGAGCCCTTGGATCGTACCAACACGCAGCGGACCAGTCACAGCAAGTCCGCTAATGACCTGTGCAGATCATGCAGCGTGGGAACGGAATGCAACGAACATGTCCTTGCTATTTTGCCGCGAAACTCTGGGACCTGGCGTTAGGTTCTCGAGCGCGTCGGGCCAATGAGCTTCACTTAGATTGAGGCCACGGACTGGATGCAGCTAGGGAGGGCAGCCACCGGTGACCAGCCCAGCGACGATGCTCCTCTGCTGCCGGAGGCGGAGGGCAAAAGGCAGAGGGCAGAAAGTAAGCCGCCGCGTCCACGTCGAAGAGTCGTGGCCCGGCGCCCAATCTTGCATCGTCAACTGGCTACAGCCAGCTTCTGGCACCCTGACGGCGATTTGACGACGCTGATGCCAGATAGTGGGCCAGGGCAATGCCGTTGTCATCAGCCAAAGAGACTTTGGCTACCACCGAGCTTGCTAAAGCGGCGCCGGAATCCGATCGGAACGAGCTCAGAACAGCCGTTGAGCGGGCGATTTGAGCCCATCTCGATCCTCTGACGTCCCGGATCCCCTAACGCCTCTAGCCTTTGCTTGCATGAAGCCATATTGGCCCGCGCCGAACGGCTCCAGGCCTAGTCGTCGGTGTCGGCGGCGTCCAGTCTGCAGCACACGACTTGATTTGGGCCTGTGTGTGTGAGAGACAAGAGAAGAGAGAAGGTATATGAGTGGCCTGCCAGCATACAGTACATACACACCAAGGGCCTTGTCCGGATGCTGTCGTGGCTTGACATGACATAACATGGCCGTCACAGACTCGGGGTCCGTAAATGAGCATGCGTATGCGATGTGCTCGTAGTGCAGCAGTTGCGGCTACTGTAATGTCGATCTGACCTCGGCTGTTGTCTCCCGCCGCCGCCTACCATGACGCCGAAAATACTTTGCATCGTGTCCTGAGACAAAAGGACCGAGTGATGAAGCGAGCGGCCGGGCACGGGCAAGGCCCAGCAGCGCGCAGGCACAAGCGGATCGCCGTTGAGCTGGACCGAAGCGAGGCGGCTTGCGAGTCAGTGACAATGTCGGGGTACCAGTGCGCCAGTGCCAGTGCCTCCGGGAGTGAGGGCCAGGTCACATGCTCACCCTCACTGCCAGGCTCATGCTCACCCTCACCTGGCTCCCTCCTCAGCACGCTAACCCGCTAGCCTGCTTACTTTGTTAGCGTCCACGCCAAGCCCCGCTCCTGCTATTTCCTGCACGTGTGCGACCGAGACGGCAATCAACACAACCACACAACCACACGCCTGTCACCCTCGACATTGACCTCGTTGCTTGCCCGCGACCTCGTGCTGACAGCACCCATCTAACACAGTGACATTTCTAACATCATCAAGCAATAGGATTATGGCGTCTCCGCACGGCGCAACTGACGCCGCCGCGTCCCCTAGTGAGGGGGCGCGTCCTCGTACGCCAGAAATGGCCGACGTCAAGACCGTCAACCGGGAGGGCAGCTACTCCTCGACTGCCGATGCTCCACTTCCGTATGAAGAGGCGCCTCCACTGCCTGATGAGCCCGTCCCGGACGCCCACGACGACGGTTGGACCCACCGGTTAGACCCCACCAGTGGCTGCTATTACTACGTCAACTCCAGGACAGGTGTCAGCCAGTGGGAGAACCCGCGTGTCCCGGAAGCTACCGTCTACCCCCATGCAGCCGCCTACACCAACTACCAAGGCTCAAACTATAGCTCGTATGACAGGTTTGCTAACTATCATCTTCTTTTGTTGCTTCTCCCATCCTAATATGTCAATCACACAGAACTTCCCAGGGCAGCGCCGCTCCAGGAATGGCGTCAAGCTCTGGCGGGCTAGGTACCGGCTCTCCTGCTGCCCCTGTCTGTGGTGGCTATAACCCTCGCATCCATGGCAGCTACGACCCCAACGCAGACTACGCCATCAGAGCCGCCAAAGAGGAAGAGGAAGCCGAGGTTGCTGCCAACCCAGCTCTTGCCGTTGCTAGTGCCAGTGCCAGCGCCAGTGCCAGTGCCAGTGCCAATACCAGCGACTACGCCACTACAGCCGCCTTCAACCGTTTCAATGGCAAGCTCCAACAACCAGGCCAAGGTCCGGAGATGCACAACGACGAGAACAAGTCGCGCCGCCAGCTGGCTGCCTACTACAACATCGATGCCGCTGACAAAGAGCACGATGGCCGTAGTCTCAAGGCCGAGCGTCGTGCTAAGCCCCCCAACAAGGCCCAAGTGAAGCAGTACCAGAAACAGCGCAAAGAGAAGAAGGAGGCCAAGCGCAAGGCGTGGCTGCTCAACTGAAGACATCGGCGGTAATTAAAGTGAAAACAGCAAAATCCATCCTCACTTGACTAATGCACACTAGGCATCATCAGCACCCTTGAGGTAGTGAATGTCTGCCTATCCCTCTCAGGTAGCGTATGACTTTTGTCTTGACGGCTGGTTCATGGAAGCGATTTGATGGTCTTGAGGATTTTCTGCTGAGCACTGGTTTGACATACATGTTCATCCAGGCACATACATCCTCTTTTGATATACGGAGTGGACGATCAGCAACGAAAGCTGGCCCACTTGGGAGCTACTTGTCTGGATATCTATGGTCTACTGACAGGAGCAAGCCCGCATAGCTTGGGTATTTCCCACTGGAATCCCGGTCGCAGTCTTGTACTTGGTAGTCCATAATCTGTAGATAGAATGACACTCTGAACAAATCCAGCCGATTCCGCTTGACGTGTCCTTCCGTTTCTGCCAATTCTGAAGACCCAGTCTCGAGGTCTATTCAGATAGTGTTTTACATTTACATGTCCCACGTAGCCTTGCTCTTGAGGTGAAGCCTGCTTTGATAGGAGCAGCTATAGCTCCTTGCAGGCATGTGGCCTGTCAGCATTATATGCATGGCACACCAACAAATCCGAATCCGAATCCTCCCGCCATGGTCCGCAACGCCGCCCTAAGTGCTGAGATGTTCCATCTTCTTCTGGACATTCTCCACGGATGCACTTCCTTCTGCCGATGCAGTCTTGTCCTCGGCGCTGTTCATGTCCGTGTCCGCCATGTCCTCTTCCGTCTTCTCTCCGGCTTCTGCTTCGCCACTCTGTCCAATACCCTTTTCCAATTCTTCCACCGCTCCAAGTAGCCAATCCACTACTTCGTTCTTGTCGTTGATCTCCGCTTCGTAGACGGCGTCATGACCCGCTCGGTTAATAATGGTGACATCAGCACCAGACTGGACAAGCATCTTTACACTTTCCAGATGACCATTCAGCGCTGCCCAGTGGAGGGGGGTATTGCCTGCTTCGTTGGCTGCATTGAGGAACTCGGGGGCGGGTTTGTCGGCGCTCGTTGAAAAGATCAACTTGATAATGTCTATGACAAACGTCAGATGACTTCCATGCAGTATCCATAATCTAGAAACATACCGGTGTGGCCGTTGGCAGCGGCATAGTGCAATGCGCTATTCTTCGAATATGGGTCGATGGCCGCAGCCAACAGGTCTGCCTTGGATCGCTTCGTCTGTACGGACACTTCGGAGACGTACGATTCGAATTCCCCCGCTTCATTTGCTCGCGCCAGGTACAGGATCTCGTCTATGGTATCTTCGTCTAGTCCTGCCATCTTTGCTGTCTGCTTTGCCCTTCAGAATCTCTTTCCGAGTAAATATTTTTCTGACAAGTCCGGCTCAGTAGGGCAAGTGGGGGCGGGGCACGTCTCACTAGCCCGTTACATCGTAGCTTACACTCGAAATCCCCGGCTTCCGTTCAACCCGCCATCCATCGCCGATACTGCACCTGTCCATCGTCACTCTATGCAGTGCGTGTGCATATCGCCTATGCAATCTCCTCGATCAAGGTCTTTTACCTTCTTTTCCTTTCTCTCATCAGCGCAAACTTAATCCGATACCACACCCCGACCGTAGATCCTGCAGCGTTAATGAGCAGTATAGCAATCAATCTATGGAAGCGCTAGAAGGCCAAGGCCAGCAGCACTGTGCAAGCTATGACGTGCAGGATCAAGCTTCAGCCCTCTTGTGATCGGCACCCGTATTACATACGCACCTTCTGCCAGCTATCAATTCTCTTCCCGCTCTTCACTCTCGCTTGGCCCTGTTCTCTCAGGGCTACGAGACAACTAATGCCTGCCTGGGACCAATCCAATCTATCCAAGTACCCACATCCTTGACTCAGATCCTCAGCCAAACGCATACACGCAAAGTTTGGTAGGTACCTTGCTTTTTGCACAATGGCGAGTTCCTGTGACGGCAAAATTATCCGGTTGTTATTTTCTCCCAGAGTTTGAGATTGGGCCAAATTGAGCCTACCTTGGATGTCTGCTTTGTTGAGAGGCAAGGCTAATACGAGCAAATATGCACGCAATGTCAACCTTCCGCTTTCGATCCGAGTACAGGGCTGTTCGTCCGTATAGAGGTTAAGATGAAAGTACCTACCCGGGCGGATCTGCGTCATGCATACATTTACCGTCGGCTCAACCTGCTGTTCGCTTCTTCATTCAGGACAGATCGTCTGACTGCTTAGGACTTCGCGTCAAGCTTCACTATTACCATGCCCCCTGTCAGAAAATAGAGTGGATACACGAAGTTTATCCCATGAACCTGGTCTTCCCGTACAGATCCAAGATCTGAACGGGCTTAGGCAGACAAGTATCTCGGGGCGAACACCATGACCGGTACCTTTGCCGCATTCTCCTCCCGGGTCGCAACACCTACCAATTGGCCTTGTCTGAATCGGACCGAATGCGAAAGTCTGATTACATAACTGCCTAGCGCCGACACATCATACTGCCTCGCTGCTACAGAGCAATGCGTCGGTATCGGCTGGGTATATGTACCGTAAACATACAACAAACTCCGATCGACACGTACCTTAATATCGGCTCATATGAAACCGGTATATTGTCCGTTCGGATCACAGCCGAGCCTAGCATTAGATACCGACAACAACGCGGACCAGTGTCAACGGTAGCCCGTCTGCAGGTACGCTCTGTTCTTAAGGCCTTCTACTTCACCTCGGCTCGTCGTCTGAGGACTGTCACTTCTATTGCTTACCAGAAGAAGAAGAAGACATCCGAGCGCTTCCAGCTCAGCGTACAAACGTTGCCGCATGCACCGACGGAAAAAATGTCACATAGCCTGTCCGTGTCCGGCGGTTACACGTTGACCAAACGGAAGCTGCTTATATGCTTCTAGAAATAGCCGCGTTCGCATTGATTACCACATGCGGAGGCTCTCTCAGTCGCACACACTTGATGAAATGTTGGAACTGTGATTGATGTATTAACTTCAATTGCCGTGTCAATCACGCATGGGCCTGCCGCGTCGAATCTGTAGCGACATGACTGACAGCCAGGCTCGTACGACAACAATCCAAGGTACATTTGGATGTACCGCACGTGGCAGCAACCGACCGAGCCGAACTCAACAAGCTGCAACGGCACAATCAATACTTTCACGCCGCTCGCACGCCGCTTTAACGCATGTCACTCCTTTGGCGTTCCACAGACGTTCTGAAACCTATCTTTGCTTTTTAGCCTTCCGCGCCACACACTAAAATACCCCGCAGGCAGCCGGATGCCGTGGCGACTATCTGTCCAAGGGAAGATGAAGGGCAACCAACGGCACTCCAAGCCACCATTACGACGATTTATACTGCGTCTGGTTTGGCGCGGGCAATTTACCGAGTCTCGAACTGACGGATGCCGCATCCAGCCCATGTATGTCGGAGACGTGTATTCTGCATCCTCGGCTGGGATTGCCTTGCTGCGCCCCATGGCTGCATCAACACCAACACTTGTCATCAGGCCGTCTGCCAACTGGATTGGCGAAGAAGCAGTCTACTATAGGACCCCTTTCGGTCGGTTGACAGCTTCAGGTCAGCACTACGCATATGCCGCATAAGATCTCATGTATGACATTGTGTCATACACCGGTAACGCAGCTGGCTTCTCCATCCAGAACTCGGTACGCATCCTTCGCACACTGACAAGCCGATGATCCTGATGTGATGGGACGTAGCTTCGGTGCATATAAAGTCTGCATTAGGCAACCCAAAGGAAGGGTTTCTGTGCAGCTGTGCAGAGATAGGCTCTCTGCATTAGGCTCACCGTTGTTGAAGGGGGGCAAAGACAAGGAAAGAGGCATCATTGACGGAATCTCTACCCGCTCATTTTTCCCTTTGTCAGACACAGAAACAGGACATACGACGTTTGCTAGATGGCTATCTGGGACCATGTTTGCATCTTTTCACTTGTTCTAGATGCATCTCTTTGACTATGGAAAGCCTTGGGAGTGCAGATTCCAACATATCAGGAGCTGCGTGGCTTGCAGATCCAAGACTCGAACTACCCTTTGACACACAAGGGTGACCTAGGCGCCGGAGGAGCTGATTGAGGAAGGGGCATGCGAAGGGCCTTTTGAGATGATCCTCTTTTTTTCTCCTCTCTCCTGGCTCCACGGGATTTCTTCCCTCAGGGTGAATACAATGCTTACCTTTTCTGCCTATACAGAGCGTTGCGCGCTTTTCGTGCATTTTGTTGAATATTAGTGACTTTTGTGAAGGGATGGTCCTTGTATGGACCAATCGTTTCGATAACGCTCACACAGTATGACTAGAGTGATGGTACGGATGGAAAAAAGCTAGGATGGTTATGGCGGAAGTATGATGGATGGTCGATGTTGCGTATGTGTCATTACGCTGTTTGTGTGATGACTTGCTTGTGTAATGATGAGGTTATGGGACCTTCATCTAATGGCTTCCGCGGTGGAAGTTGCTTGTACCGGTGATGACACGTGTGTGTTTTGCGGATATGAATTGGTGCTGTCGTTGAGTCTCGCTGTGTTGGTGTGATGATGATGTGATGGTGTTGTTGAATGAATAGATTGATAGACTGGATAAGTTTGGCATACAATCTATCATGATCCTCAACTATCATCACTTTCGGCGAACTCACACCCGTGGTATCAATTGCCTCTGAGCAACTAATCAATTGATTAAGTAGAAAAAGTCCTCGGAAGTTGTCTGTAGATTGAAAGACCGCATGCATGTGCACATTGTGATGATGAAAGCTGTCTATCCAACCACTAAACTCCACCCAATAAAACCTATAGAAATACATGAAGCTAGTATCTTAATCACACATGCATATACCGCATTGCCATCCAAACATCCACTCCACCACCAGAATCTTCTCTTCTAGCAAAGCACTAGTATGCAATAATACCAGTTTGCAACTAGAGTTCACAGATCATGTTAAAAAGCGGTATATCGCGTGCAGTATAGCCAAGGAAAGAATATGTAGTAAGGTGTTATCGTGGATGTAAGGGTAGGTTTATGGATGTCGGGTCAAGTTTGTCGATACGGAGATTGAGAGGGTATGTACATGGATTTCTGGGTTGGTGGGTGAATGCTAGAGCATGAAGGTGATAAGGGAAAAGGAAAAGGTAGTGGCGGCGGGAGTAGATCCGTGTACGATATAATAGAGCCAAATAGAAAATCAAATATACATATAATCTCGCCATTCATCTGATTCACGTAGGAACTATAGAAGCAATACACCTCATCATCCGTTCGTCCGAGTAAGTCTACAGAGGTACAGCACACCATCCCTCCCGACCATAGAAGAGAAACTAAGCACACAAGACACGACGTTGAATTTCAGAATTACTGGGTATCATAATATATCATTCATCCGCATCAAGCACTTAAAGAAAAAAAAAGAAGCCTAGTCCAAGAAAAGAACTACGAAGCCAAGACTAAATATGCCTGAGCTAATGTGGTATATGAAAAGCAGCAGTAGTAGTACATGCTCGAAGAAAAGTAAAACCTTCCAAGAACCCACCCATCTGGACATCAAAGCATGACATCTTCGCCCCCATGTAGTAACCCCTTTTGATATTCGAACAGCGCAACGCCAGTAAGAAAAAAATGAAGCCGCTCATGTCAAGCCGTACCATGCTCTCCTCACCCCGAAACCCCCGAAAAGGAAAAAAAAAAGGCAAAGTAAACCACCCCTCACTCACTCCTCAACCAACACCCCAAGAATCAAGCTTTGAATCACAAACTCGGCACAAGTGATCCTCACATCCCTCATGCCAACTCTGCTCTTGACAAAAAGCGGGTCCTGAGGCTCAGGCTCAGTCTCGGAGCGCCTCCTCTTCTTACCGCCCTTCTTCGTTTTACCCAATGGCGCCGGTTTCTCGGTGCCGAACAACATGGTCGCCGCCACGGCTACACCGCGTTCGCCATTGTCCACGTAGACCCAGTCCCACTTGTTATCGCCGAGCATGTCAGCTGCGGTGTCAAGATCAGCGCACAGGCCTACGCTTGCGGAGCCAAGCGCATGCGAGAGAAAGACAAAGGGCTGTCGTTTATCCATTTCCTTTTTCGATTTGCCCGTGACGAGAAGGACGTTTTGGTTGTTGAAGAGGAGGTCGCGGGTCTGGATAGTCTGAGCGAAGGATGTATCTTCGCCTGCTGGGTCGTAAGGGGCCATGGTGCGAGAGCGAATAACACCGTTCGGATCAAGGAATTTCGAGACACCGGCAGGTAGAAGGTAGCGTGAGAATGGCGCAGCTCGGGAGGCGTTAACTGAGTCCTGGATCCAGCGGAGGTGCAGACATGGGACATTGAGAGCTAGGGCTTGGATATACTTGGTGCTACGAGAATGCGAGTCGGAAAGGAGTGCGACGAAACCCAGGTCTCGGTATGCTTGTTTGAGTGAAAGACCAGGTCTCTCGACAGAAGAGGTCGATCTACGACGTTTCTGCGGCGAGGAGGGTGCGTCAGAAGACTCATAGTCAAACAGTTCATGGAAGCCATGTTCTAGGACTTGCCCGCCATTTCTTCTGATGGTCTTAGTGATAGCCTCTTTATCCACATCAGCAGCAGTCGAAGTGAGTACAAAGGCCATGTTCACAAACACACCAGTGCCGGATCGAGTAGTGGAAGCTACAGATCCAGCACGTGTGGTCAGATCCTTGAGTAGCGACGGTGCGGCCGTTCCACGCCGCGTGAATGACGGTGTAGCGAAATGATCAGGGACAGGAGTGCCAATGTGAGAAGCCGTCTTAGCTGGTGATATGAGCGATCCGAAATTGTAAGATCGATCTCGCAGACGCTTCCACAAACCAGCAGTCAAGTAAACATCAGAAACGGGCACTGAAATTTGTCCAGTCGTTTGGAGTGCTTTGGCTGCTGGTAGGCTGCCCCTAGATTTCTCCTCAAGAATAACGCTCGCATGTCCGCGCTGATCAGTAGTGGGAAACTCTTCACAACCCACGTCGTGCATCTTATGCTTGAAACCGACAACAACATAAGTGTTCTTCTTCATGCCTGGCTCGTCCACTTTGACATGGTCGCCTTTACGAAGGTCTAATGCCCGGACGAGCATCGCGTCGACGGATGTGATATTACCATCATCATATCGTATCTGAAGCAGCCGAGATGTTGCGCGACCGAGACACGTAGCAGGGTAATAGTGGCTACCAGGCCAGCATGCGAAGACTCTGTTTGGCACAACGATGTCATCTGGTGGGGTCTCACTGTGCTGTGATGGAGTCTTCTCCACATTGCTTGGTGGCGGAGCAGAACTGGTGGGCCCGACCGTGTCGTTGTCGGCGTCAGTCATATTGACATCAGCAGGCGTTTTGGTAGGCGCTTTGGAAGCAACTTCTTTCGGCTTGGAAGGGGTGACAGGTGTGGTTGCTCGATTACGAACCGACACCTTTGGTCTCGAAGGCGAATTTGCTGGTGAAGAGACGCTCTGTAACAGTTCTCTTGAAACCGGCTTTAGTGCTCCATGCCTCTGGTTCTGCGGCTTCTTAGGCTTTGGCAGGACCTTGGACTTGAGAGAAGTTGTCGGTTTGTACGGAACTTGCGCCTCTTCCCGTAGGCGTGCCGCTGTACGAGCACCTTGGTCTTCTTGTTCCTGAGTTGTTGCAATTGGCGGGGTCGCTTCTAATGCATCCTGTGCCAGTTCGACGTGTGGTGATGATGGTGGACCTGAAAGCGTTGCATCCGCTGTCGCTGTTGTTGAGTCGCGGAAGACAGGGCGCTTCCCAGTATATGTGATCTTACGCCTCTTCGCAGGTGGTAGGGCGGGCGAAGATCGAGACATGGAGACATCTTCATCATCTTCCTCTACGCCACTCAAGCGAGGCATTTCAACGTCTTCCTCTACAGGTGACTGCTGAGTCTCAGGGAGGTTGTATATGTCGTCGATAGAGCGAATCCGGCTGCCTCCTGTCATGGTATCACTCCCCTGGTCTCTGGAGCTGCGAGGCGCTGGCATGTTGGACTGGGATCCAGACGGTTCCTCTTGTGCGGTTTGGAATTGCTCAGTGTTGTTGGTGTTATTATGCACAGCCGCATCATCCCCAATGACCTCCCCAGAATGACTGTCTGGAAAGCAAGATGGTTGCGTGTCATCGAGCGCATCAGTGTCGGGAATGGTATTTTGACGTTGCATGCGCGGTGCGTTGGATGGATTGTCTCCATTATTGCGTCGTGACTCTTGGTTGTAGTGCACGTGGCCCTCAGGCTGCTCCTGGTCCAAAGTCCCTGAAGCCTCATCATCTGGAACTTCCACTTTGCAAGGATGGGCCATGTCCACATATCCTTCTTGACTGCTTTCATTATCTGCATCCTCGTCTTCGGACTCCTCTTTCGGAAGCGGTAGATCCTCCTCGTCCTCATCCTCATCCATGGCCACATCTGCGTCGTTATCTGGGGATGGCATCGTGTCATCCTCTGCAACTCCCTCTGCATGCTCGTCGTACGCGTGCTCGTCATACTCCAGATCACCTTCTTCCTTCCCGTCACCAGGGACCATTAGTGGGGGGCTACTAGGAACACGATCTTCCTCAGGCGTCACAATCTCTGGACTGGACTTGGGTGGCAAGGGTGGTATTGAAGATGAGATGACTTGGCTTGTGTATCCGGTCTTGGTGGCCATTGTAGTCTGGTTGATGCTGTACTGGCTCATCATCGGTGACGACGGAAAGCGAAGCGATTTTGGTCGTGGCACGCTTTCAAAGTCTGCAGTCGCATCCGGCTGTGAGTCCATGACAGCGATTGACTCCTTGCTACTTGACGGCTGAATTGCTGCTCGTAAATACTGTGAGCCAGATTCTCGTTGTCGGGTTTTGCGTTGTGATGAAGGCCTTGGTTGCTGCGTGGAGTTTCCTGAAGGTTGGACTGAAGGAGTACGGTGCGGGTGAGAGGAAGTCTTTGGGACCTGTATGCTATTGTATTCAGCCACTGTCCGTGCGGCGTCCCGCGTGGTCTGCGATGTTTCATCGGCGGAATGATCGCTATTGTGCTTATTCGCCTCATTCACCATTATGGTTTGTGACTGTTCATTCATGAATACGTCATCGTCGTGCGATGTGGCGCGGACCACGCTTCGCGACGTGCATGATTTTCCCGGCGACGGATAGCCTGCACTCATTGTGCGCTTTATTTCAGATGGTGATAACGAATGCATTGGTGCAGAGACGTGCGAAAGAGATTCTGCAACCTGACGACGGGCATACTCTCTTGATTTCCTGGCCTTCACCTTCCTAGAGAGCTCTTCCCAACTATCCTGCTCCACAATGACATTGTGTTCGTTTCCTACAGAACGATTTCGCCTCTCTTGTGACTCCTTCGTTGTGACATAATCGGTTCGCGGTACGCTGGACGATCGCATAATTGGCTCGGATTTGGGGGTATCGCGGCGAGTAGCTTTGATAGGGCTGGAATAGGCTGGCATTGGACTCGAGTGCCGCGCATGCGTAAAGTTGGGTGAAGGGCGTGTGAAGACGACATCTTCACCTGGGCAATCTACCATGGGGGAGGTGGGTGCCTGAGTATTGTTGAAGGCCTGTGTAAGAGATATGTGCTGTACTTCACCTCCTCCAGCTTCGTTGCCGAAAAAGAAAGGAGCAGAAGGAACACTGCCGGGCGTGGTGCTGGTCCGCATGGCTGAGCTTAGCATCTGGCCTGAGCTGACCCTCTTCCTGTCCCCCAATGCAGGCGTTTGGAATTTCAGTGGACTCGTGGGTGCCAGGCTATTTTGTGCGGTATCGCCCTGTTCGTCGACATCGATCATGGTATGGCTCATAGGCGTCGGGACGTGAATCTGTTGGCTCGATGCTACAACTTCCATCTCATCTGTAGGCGAGTCGTCGTTGTTCTCCTCCTCACTATGCTCGACAAACAGTGATTTGGGCTGTGGCACTCTTATCTCTCTCCCATCTATTGTTGGGAATATGCCGCTCGTCCATGTCTTCATCATTTGACTATCCGGTTGAGTATCGCCCGGCGCGTCCGGTATGTTGAAGCTGTGATACATCTTGTCTGCCCTGTCCAATTGAACGTTTCGAGTACTGGTGGGCGTGCTGTGGTGTTTGGGTAGAGCGGGCTTGACATGTTTTGCGGTCGTGGCGCGTCGCGGGGAAAGAGCGCGATCGAACTGCGCAAGCCCGACGGATGCGCGCAGGAAGGCGTGACTGGCTTCTAGCGGTCCCGTAAAGGTGGAGACGGTGTTATCCCCTGAATTGGGACTTTCCGTCGACGTGGTGAAGTGAAATGACTTTTCGCTGCCGACCCGTTGCCAGAGGGCCTGGGAAAGTTGAGATGGATCCTAAGGTGGCGTCAGTCATCAGTTCAGTGAGGTGAATGATCGGCGACCGGGGTTGCGGTATCCTTGCGCCATTGCAGAGTCGATGCGACCGGCAACTTACATCGTAAATATCATCACCGAGTACCGTGGGTGCTTGCGATTCCTCCATTGTGACTGTTCATCTCTGAGCGCACTTCAGCGCAACATGTTGGTGCCTGATCCTCGAGTACCAATTGAGCCAATACGGTTACGCGCCAATGAGCGGGAGACGCGAAGTCATGTGCCAGGCGACAGAGCGCGCTTTGTCTTTCACGTCGGACCGTGACCTGCCTTACTTGAACCTGCTTTGTCTTAGTACGCGGGCATGTCCGGCATGTCAGCCTATGAATACCATTGCGCAGCTAGTGCATTATAGATTCAACAACTCTGCCTCTTGAAGACAAGATGCCTTTTAATTCGCTTTGGTAGCAATTGTCCAGGCAAAGTACATGGTAATGTACTCTCAGGTGCTGCACGCAAAATCAAGTTTGTAATGTATGTTTTCAGCGTGTACGATAATACTCCAGTCCTGTTTGCGCTTCAGGGGAATATATAGAAGGACCCAAGTTTCATGCATTTGGTCGATGACGCTGTAAATAGGATATACTCGTTCATATACGTGTTGCAAACTTTAATCGTACCCCTCGCCATCATTCCTAGATGTGCTCCAACTTTCGTGTCCCTTCCCAATCCCTTCCCATATCGACTGACAAGTCCACCCTTTCACAATCATCTTCCAGCTCTACTTCCACCAACCCCGTTGTTCGAATCAGCCTCCACCCTTATCCTGCAAAGGTGTAGTACAGGCTCATCACAACCGTCAATCCAACCACACTCCACCCGGTACGGATAACCTGCTGATTCTTGAATCCAACACCGACATCCCAAGCCAAATGCCTCAATCCGTTTAAGCTGTGGAAGAAGAAGGGGAACGCATAAAAGGCCTTGATTCCCGCCTTGACAGCCGCAGGCCAAGCTGCGACGGTCGCAACCATGGATTGCGTCTCGAGGTGCCATCCAGTGTAGGGAGCGACGAGGTAGGCGATACCGAAGAGGTAGAGAGAGCCGGAGAGAACGACGCCAGTGATGCGGTTGAACGCGGAGGCAATCGAGGTGATTTGCGGCCTGTAGATGGCCAAGTGGGGGGAGACGGGTCGGTTGAGGCGCTGTTTTGCGAGGATCTGGGCGGATTCAGACTGGGAGGTGTTTCCAGTTGCTGCGAGTCTGAGTTTGATCTGTTAGTATGATTGCTGCCATTGTTGGGGTGGCAGAATAGAGCTTGCTGCCGCTGCGACGGCTATGACATACCTCCGCTGCATCACACGTCCCGCGGGTTGCACCCTCAAACTAGGCCCTGCGGCCCGTCGCAGGCCGAGCTGAAATATGCGCTGAGAAGCCATGATGCGGGTTCTCCAATTTGCAGTCGACAATGTCTCGCGTGCCGTGGGCTGTCGGTGGTGATGTTGGTTGATGTCGTCCTCGTGGAGCAATCACTGACGCTAACTGCTTCACAAGTCCCAATCCCAAATCTTCCCGATTCCCGAGGTCCCCTATACATCCAATCAGCGCCTCCGCATTACAATGCTTAGTCACCCACTTTTCCTCACCCGATATTTTCTCGCGTGCGCCTTCCAAGCTTCTTTTCCTCCACGAACCTCGATATCGCCGGCAATGAGCGCTTGCGTGCTGAACTGCGGGAGTGACGGCCTACTTTGTCTGCTGGCGTTATGTCAGTGGATGGGGCTTTGGAGGGATCGGAGAGGGACGCCTGTATTAATCGCTTGTGTTGACGAAAGCTGTGTCTGCACGAGTTTCATATCAAGGCTACATATTATTGCAACGTGATGTTGAGATGACTGTTTGCAAATATCTGAAGCTACATGCTTTGTGAAGCTTACGATGACGTTGATAGCGTATGGTGTGTGAGTTCGGCATTCGAGGGTGCTTCGTTACCTGCTTAGGTAGGTACTGAAGGTAGGCGTATCCTACCTCGTGACGCGGTGATGCAGATATGTATGTCCTCCTTGATGTATACAGTGCATCATCTGCCAGTCAGTCTTACTGTTTTGAGTCGGTCGAAGATGAGCCTCATGCTGCGCGTCTCACTCGACTTGTAAGAATCTTCGCTGCTCCGAAAATTTCTTCTCGTCCCTTGTGAACCTCAACCCCAGCTTCACCTATCATGAGATCCACAACTCCAAACCAACTCCCGTGACACCCACACAACCACTCTAACTCCCATAATCATGGAGTCACTACGTCAAATCATCGCCTCCGAGGCAGGCCTCCCAGACAACTCCTACATCTACAAGATCATTTCAACCGCTCCACGCCAAGACCCTCTCACATACTCCGTAACCGACCAAATAGCCACCATCTCATCCGATGACTCTCTACGCTTCTACGCCGCAGACTTACGACCCGATGGCGAGGTCTATAGAGCAAATGAAAGTATAACGTGTCTACAGCGAGCAAACGATGCGTCAAGCAACGTGGTCGCAACCGCAGGAAGAGATGGCCTCATCCGTTTCTGGGACAAACGAAGCAAGCAAAAAGCGCTCGAGATGCAAAGCCGTTAGTCCAACAAAAGACCAAATAAAATGCTTAACGTTGATTAACACATTACTCCAGCCCACAAACTAATCTCCGCCCTAACCTGTTCCACAACCACCAACATGCTCGCCGCCGGAATCGAAAACCCAGAAGACGGACCAAACAGTTCCCCAGTCTACATATGGTAACCTACCCCCCAACCCATGTCCCCCAGGAAAACTAACACCCTACCCAGGGACTCCCGCACCCCCACCACCCCCCTCCGCACCTACCCAGACTCCCACACCGACACCGTAACAACCCTCTCCCTGCACCCCTCCCACCCATCCCTCCTCCTCTCCTCCAGCACAGATGGCCTCATCAACATCTTCGACACCACGCAAGCCGACGAAGACGACGCCTTGTACCAAGTCATCAACCACGGGTCTGCGATTGCACACGCAGGCTTCATGTTCCCCAGCACGGACATCTACGCCATTGGCACTGATGAGACGGTTAGTTTTCACGCGCTGCAGAGCCAGGAGGAAGAGGTTGAGGAGCCGAGTCCAAGGGTTTGGGGGGATGTAAGGGAGGGGGTTGGGTGCGAGTATGTGGTTGGGATGGGGTGGGTTGGGGAGAGGGCTGTTTTGGGGGTGGGGAGGCATAGGTGAGTTCTCCTACTTTTGTTCTCTTGTTCTGTTTTCTTTGCGGTTCTGTGAAGTTGTGAAGGGGGACGTTCAGCTAACGCGGTCACAGCGAGGCCAAACTCTCCCTTATCCCCGTAACAAAAGGCTCAAACGGTCCTTTGGATTACTCTCTCGATGCCGAGAGTGGAATTCAGATGGACGGGGCGCATGGTGAGGAGATTGTAAGAGATTTTTTCACAGATGTTCACGTAAGTTTTCCTATCCTATCCTGTTCACTTACCCCCGTTTCCCAACTGCGTTCCCTACGCCTTTCTGGAAAGTCAACTCACCAAAACAGACACATGTAACCTACACCGTCGGAGAAGACGGCATGATCCGCGCTTGGAAAAACAGGGCGGCTGGGGAGGAGGGATCGGGGAAGAAAAGATTGAAGGAGAAGAAGGATAAGGAGAAGGCGAGGTTTAAGCCTTATTGAAGAGGTGGTGGGTGTCGAAGTGAGGGGTGAGAAGCATGTATAAGGGTTAAGTAAAGGGTTTCTGAGAGAGTAAGACAAAGCATAAATGTTTACATCAAAGACACCTTTCTTTGTCAGCAACGCTGCTTCTCAAGCTTGAAATCTACATGAAACCATTGCAAAAAAGAAAACGTGCTGATAATATATCCATAAAGCAACTCAAGCGGCTATATAACAACCAGAAAGGCAACAAAAACAGTATGAGAATAAACGGGTATATAGCACCAAACTCCAGAAATCAACCTCGCACCCTCGCCTACTCCTTCCTCTTCCCAAAAGCCCTTTCCTGGACCTCAACCTTCACCCCTCCCCCCGTCCAAACATGCAAGACCCTCTCCTCCTCATTATACCCAACCTGGAAGCTTCTCACATCCGTATTCCCACTCACTGGCTGCAGCGGGCGCTGGACCTTTATCCGCTTTGTCTTCGGCGGACTGACAAATTGGTCAGCACTTCTTTTCTGACCTTGTGCTACGGCATCACCGCTTTCTTCCCCAGTAGAACCCGGCGTTGGTAAAAAGGGCGCGGGTAGAAGATTGTAGATAACATTTTCTTTTTGTTCCTGGCCCTGGTCGAAAGAACTGGGGAGTCGCGATGCCCGGATACCCTGGGCTTGTGTGCTACCCGCTGCGGATACATGGGTTGTGAACACAGGGCTGGATGTGTATTGTGGTGGTGTCTCTTGGACTACTGAGTTGCTTGGTAATGGAAGGCGTGGTGAATCTTTGGAGTAGCGGGGGGTGGTACACTGGGTTGTTTCTTCAGTGGTGGAGTCGGTTGTCGCGAGTTGTGAACCACCCATCTCCCGGATGTACTTCTTAGCGTACAAGGCAATGTCTCTTGCGTGGCCGTCTAGTTTGTCCGCATCGGGAACCGTCCATTTCTCTTCGGCGAGACGCTCTAGGTCGGCCATGGTTACGCAGTCTTCCCAGGTTCGGTCGCTGTGTATCTTTCGTATACGAGGATGGCGCAGCATCTCAAATGACTCATTTTGAACCTGTTCGGAGCCGCCACCAAGTATCTCTGCTACGAACGGTTTCTTGAACACGGCTGCCATACGTCGATCGAAACTTTTGGAGTGAACAATATCGAACTCGCGTGTTGATCCATCTTCCTGCAAGGTACCCTGGCGGACATATCCTTGTGTATTCAACCACTTGACATCGGCCTTTGGAATACACTTTTCAAGACTCAGAGTCGCAACGACCTTGAACCTCGGCTTGGCGCCGGTACGTTCCACTGCATCTGTGTTGATACAGCAACCGAGGTGAAAATGGGTCCAATGTAACGGCTTGACATCAGTCTTTGCGGCAACTTGCGCATCGAAGCTAGCCCCAACGACGGCAAAATCCCCCAAGTCACGCTCGCCGCCCATGTCTCCCAAGGAGTCCTTTTTCATCTTGATGAAGAAACCTGCTTGACGAGATCCCTGCTCTAACAATAGAGGAAAGTAGGGTTCGTGGAGCGGTTTCAAGACAAGGCCTTCTTGGCGTTCGGCAAGTGTCCGGACGAATGCCTGTTTAAGGTCTGTTATACCCTCCCCTGTCTTAGACGACAGTAAGCTCCAGTTTGATCGCATTGACCGACCGGGGACGGAGTGAACAAGGTTGCGGAGGACGTCTCGACGCTCTTGGAGGCAGTGACGTAGAATGGGCTGATCGTCTAGGACGAGGATATCGAAGAATACGATCATGAGATGTTCCCATTCATGCGGCACGTCGTCTTGGAGTGTACCGAGGAAGGACCCCGATCGTGAGACGTGCTTGCGAATTTTGGAGAAGGGCATGATCTTCTTTTCTCGATCGCTATACACTACCATCTCGCCAAGAACGATGCACTTCTTCTTGAACAGGCAATCAGGGCGACCGATTCGCAGAGCTTTTCGGATGATGTCATGCAGAGGTCGACGATCCGCCGTTGCGTCTTTGCCGTTTTTGGAGAAGATGCGAATCGGATGTTCTGCATTGTCCAGATCCACGTGAATCTCGCAGTACTCGCCATCGTACTTTACTTCGGCAGCCCAAGCGCCGTTGCCGACGAGCTGGAGACAATTTTTGAACGACCAAGCTTTATGAAAGGTTGGCCGCCACATTTACACCAACGACAGGCTTCAGCTTCTGTGCTGCCTCGATGCGCATGGCCATTTGCTCGGAAGGCTCTGGTGCTGGCGGGTAACAACTCAGTTCCCCTTTCAGCATACCAAAGACAGTGTCGAAGTCGTTTTGGAACATCAACAATTCCGGTAGAAGGAAGTGATAGCATCCAAAAACGTACTTTTCGTCAAGTTCGATGGTGCAGTGATTTCGTAGAAGCATGCGGACCAACCACTTTGCTTCCCAGGACTTGAGTCTTCTAAAGATGAACCACAGTTCTGTATCAGTCTCAAACTCGTAATTGCGTTTTCTCCGGATATTTTCATTGGAAAACCTATTCCTGCTCGCTAGCTGTACGAGCAATCGATCGATGCGTTCAAGGGAAAACCCAGTCTTTCGGTTGTCCCAAGTGCCGTCCCATTTCTTCATGGCGCGTTCTACGTAAACGCCCAGGTCGCCATAAGTCCCCGTCTTCCATCCGTTGAATAGTGTGCTCTGACCGTGGTTGAAAGCGAGGAGCTTCTCGAGCTTTTTGGCAAGGCTGGGTGTTTGTAGGCCGTAAACTCGATCTTTCCGTAGATGGGGAAATAGGGCAGATAGTACTGCCCCACCGTTCGTCTCTGGGTCATCCAGAGCTCCTCTTTGGTTACGGAACCAGTTCGAGATGATTACGCGGATGTTCTCTTTCTCTTTCTTCTCCGGTAATCTTGGTCGCCGAGTAGTGGTGTTCTCGATACTCTACAGAAGGCTGCAAATGCTTTCGAAAGATATAGACATGATTGAAATGGTTATATATTGTAGGATTTGAGTGGTGATGAACTGATAAATAATTGGATTTGTTGGATTTGGTCCTGTTGGGGGATTTGAGCTGAGATACCCAGAGGCAATGGCGAGTGATGTGCTTGTTGGAATGCGCCTGCACAAACCCAAAAACACTCAATTCACTGCTCTCCAGTGTCGCTGCTTTCCGCCGTAATCTGTACTTTGAGGCTTGTGGGGTATTGCTATGCGAATTCACTCTTTCGAAATTTCAGGGGTTGACAGTAAACCAATTCATGCGTTCTTGGCCTCAATATCATCAACATAGTCGCGCAAGTACTATAACGTTAGTCAGATAACAAAGGTGGGGTAATCGGCGAGCTTTGTATGGGATTGTGCAATACTATTGCAATAACTAGCAGCTAAAAGATATCGAAAAGAACCGAGTAGGACAAAAGATGCAAACAAAGGACTGACTGAACGAATATACAAACATCACGTTGTGGTGAAAGAAGGGACGATGCCCTTTGTCTGACGCGCTAATCTAGATGATCACGGGAACACGCGCCGACTAGGCCCAATGTGGGTACAGCTTGATCTCGTCTCGACTTACTTCAAACACAACATATCTGTATTATATACGGGGAGACTCGCCAAGGTTATTTGATGTTACCTCTAGGCAGTAAAGATGTAATCGTACCTTGCATATTGATCAACTTTCCGTAAGCTTGGTACCGCATAGCTTTGACGTCATGATCCTTCTCCGAGGTCCACCCCTCTTTGCAAAGCCGCACATGAACCTCACAACTCCCAGGTGAGCAGAAATACGACAAAGTCCTTGTTGTAAGTAGGATATTGTAAGGCGACATCATCGCCTACCGGTAGAGGTAGCCAAAAAGTGCACAGGTAGTGTGCCGCGCGTTCCCGGCATTCTGTTACGTATGCTAACAGAAGAAAGTTTCTCTATTAGCAATGCCAAACCAACAAGAAAGCGTATCGGATCCTCGCTCAGAGGCGGCCAAGAAGAAAGATCTGATTGCGCGCGGCGATTACACACCCACACCAGCCGGCAGGACACCCTTCTTTCTAATTCGCGCCGTTGAACCCTACCTCCAATACTCGATTCTTGCCAATGGCCTCGGCACGTCGCTCCTACATCGTGTAGGGTTAAGGACGTTACCTCCCGGCCTTCCAACACGTACGGGTATATCTCTCGTCGACGGTCTCGGACTTTCACCATACCGATTGGCGTTGTTTGGCATGGCGGTTGGTGCCGCTGTCAAGCAAAACATATGGGTCACGGCATTGTCAGGAGAACCAATGCCCGTCGGCGGCGCCATTAGTATAGGGGTATTCAACGGCATATTCAACAGCTTAGCCAGTTATGCCTTCCTGATCTCCGCGACATCTGCTTCGACAGAGAGTGATTTTCCACAACCGGCGTTACTCATCGGTGGTTCCATGTACGTTGTTGGTATCGTCACTGAACTCGTTGCGGAAATCCAACGTAAGCGATTCAAGGCCGACCCGAACAACAAGGGCAAGGCCTACACCGGTGGATTGTGGAGCTTTGCTCGCCACATCAACTACGGGGCATACACAGTGTGGAGAGCGGGGTACGTACGGAAGCGAACATGTTGAATGGATTGCCTAATGCCTGAGACGTGGAGTTGTTTTTGCTAACCAAGTGTAGGTACGCCATGGCCGGTGGAGGCTACACATTGGGGGCGCTGGTCGGAGCTTTCTTCGCATGGGATTTCTCAAACCGTGCTATTCCCATTCTAAACGAGTATTGCGAAAAGCGCTATGGCGCTCAGTGGGAGGAGTTCAAGCGGAAGACACCATACAAGTTGATACCGTATATTTACTAGGCCAGATACGCACGTTGCTGAAGGACTAAATTGGATTCCGGATATACGACCATCCGACTCCGCAAACATCCGTGAAGCAGATATTCCATTCACACAAGATCTTCAAGTCGGTTCTCGCGCTTCACAGGTAATTTGTGCATGCACAGCAGATCAAGCCATTGTGCGACATAGATCACCAACGCACAAGAAATCATCAACTTCATACGAAGTTCATCAACTAGCCGTCGATACCAATCACCGCCCAAGCCAGCAATCTCCGACGACTAGTGCGCGAAATAACCGGCTCATCTGCCTACAGAGTGCAAGCTTATTTCCTAAAACAGCATCTCACGATAACGATAACGCGAAATGGAGACAGGCTATCCACTCGTCGTAGCACGATGCAGGTGCAGTTCTCGTCAGCACGGCATCAACCGTGCCCACCTGTTGTGCCCACGCATGCTGTGGTCAAGGGGCATTACTCGCACGCCTTCTCGCTAACGTTTGGAGGGTAAAACTGAGTAAGCAGAAAGAAGATGGTGTGCGATCTGACATGCAGGCGCGAGAGATCTGCGGACGTTGTGCGACACCCCTCAAACCGAGCGCTTGGGATTTGTTTGGCTGAGTGAGGAATTCCGTGGCCAGCTGGTGTGATGTTGACAGGCCGACTAATCACGAGCAAAGTCAAGCAAGTAGCGGCTTGGGTTGGGTTGCTTGGTACGGCATGGGCACGACCCGTAGGAGCAGCGACCGCCATGTTCTGATCGGCTCATGAAAGGATCATTGAAGCTGAAAAAAGATACGATAAGGCCAATGTGCAGCAGCTGCAGCAGCGTCGTATAGGTCATTCGCTTCATGCCGGAGAAACATCTAACGCGGGGTCATGAACAGCCGGCGGCACATGGAGCAATGATCTGCCGTATTGTTGTGTAAAAAAAACCCTCACTCAGCTTTTCAGGGTCCTCTTCGCTCGGCGGGCTTGCGGCGCGATGTCGCTCTGGGATGCGACGCCACAGGTGCATCTCCATCTGGTGCGCAACGTGCGATCTGTGTTGCATCCCCCCCCAAAGACGTTCCAGAAATACATTGCAGCATGCCTCGTATCTCCACCTAATTCTATATCGAAGGTTGATCGGAAACGCATGTCATTTATTGATGATCAGGAGGTGGCTGTGGGGGGCAACTATGGCCGTGCTAGAAGATTCGGTCATGACCGAGGGGTGGTGTTTGAGGGTTAAAAAAACTGCGCATGGTGTGAGGATGTGGAGGCTCAACACTTTTGGCTTGGAGGTGTCTAGCAGCTGAGATCGCGATCTCGAGGTAGTTTGGGTGATGGTGATTCCTTTGGGCGAGTGGGCGGTGCTAGAGAGCGGGGAACGGCTGGTGGTGCATCGACGTGCATAGCGACCCCACTAGGACTTTGTCGGCAAAGACAGTGAGAGGCTCAAGCAGGCCGTTCGTCACAGCACGTTAGGGAAAGCCGGGAGGCGCTGCGAATGAAACGTGATGATTTGCCTCAGGCTAGTGCTGGGCCTTGATGGCATCCTAGTAGATGGGCACCGGGTTGAGGTCTGGCAGGCATGGAACCGGTGTTGATAGTCGTACCATGGGTTGATGTGGTGAGGCGTTTGACGTTGCTTGAGGTCATGGCTTCGTATTGATGAGGCCTGGAGGGGGTGAGGATGAAACATGGCGGACAGGTCAGTCATCAGGTCACCATGATCAGATGGGTCACAGGTGTTGTAGTCGTACTCGCAAAGCAAAGTAATGTTTGAGTAGGCGGCGGCTGCAACCAAAAGGCGATCATGCAAGTGTTAAGCGCAGACGTGATCCGAGCTACGACGTTTGGCCATGAGTCCAAGGCGAGAGCACATGCAGAAAATGGGATTTGGATTTGGCGAAGTTTGGACATGGCATGGGGACATGGGCAAGGGTGATTCGGCCGACAGGGCCCAAAGGCAGCATCGTGAGCCGTGGGCGGGTGTGGATTTTGACGGTTTTTGGGGGCAGTTTGGCTATACAGCAAGGTGGATTCCTGTTTTTGTGGCGTTATCACAGCGCTGCTATGGCCGTGCAACCCAAGGGGAGCGGGCGCGCGAGAGAGCACGCCACGGCGGAGCAACAGTCATGGGCCTTTCGTCATTGACGTTTTTTGGGTGGAGATGTGGTTCCCAAGTGTCGGCTCACACATTTCTAGCGCCAGGCCTGTCGACGGCTGTGACGGACGGCGGCCAAGATACAAGACACGGCGTCTTCCTCTTTACGGCCGCTCCAGTCAATACCGTCGATATTGTATCGTGCATATTTGCGCCAACTGCCTTTTTGCTTGTCCCGCACCACATCTACCAGCCTAACGACGGCCCACGTTCCTTGGAGCCTCTAGCCCGTAGCTTCTAGCTGTCTGTCCATTCCAGGTCGAGTTACCCTGTTCTGTAAGCTGGTTCCCACGCGCTACGCTGCTTTGTTGCAAGCATCAGCTGGCGTTGCCGGCCTGCTCAAACACTGAAATGGCTCGTGTTCGCCATGTGCTGACAGCTTTCTTTAGACTCGGTGCCCGTACTCTCCCTGTTGCCCACCAGGGAATTTCTCCAACAATCCCGACCGTCGGCCATCCTCGCCCCCTGTCGCCAAACACATCTTCTCTTTCTACAGTAATTCTCCCGCGGGGCTCGACAGAACCCCCCCGCCATCGCCGCCGCTTCGTCCGCCGGCCAAATATCGCCAGTGCCAGCACTGTCAGCATCGTCAATTGATTTGCGATTGCCGCACGTCACCTCACCTCAGCCGACTGTCGGAAGCAGTGGGAAGTCAGTGCATTGGCACTGCAGGGCTGCAGCAACATCGACGCAAGCGGGGCGCCAAGCCAGCATCTTCCATATCGCCATTACATCTTCTACATAAACTCCGGCTCCTCTTTGCCGCGTGCTTGACGGCTATCCAGGGTGCTTTCATTCAACAATAGTTGCTTGTTTCTACCACACAGTTCACCTTGACGTCAGGGCGCCGATCCGTGTTTCACGCCGTCTGCCACTCAAGCGAGGGAGTACGGCTTAGTTAGTCAGGCTGTCAATCAAGCAATCAATATCCACCTCTTCCAAGATGCAGGCCATCGTCACGCAACCACCACAACAACCCGCCTACGGGGCTGTTCCTCTCCGTCGTAAGCCCGTAGCAAATCCCGGCATCGCTGTGCGGCCCCCGCCTCACCAATACGACACAATTCAGCCAGGCCACTCGCGGACGCGCACCACCAGCTCGGGTGTCTTTCCCACTCAATCGCCCACGACTGCCAGTATGAATTCGCAATACCCAACCCAGTACCAGACAAGCCTCCGCCGGACGCCCACGTCGTCGACCAGCTCTACTACGGGCACCCCTAACCGCTCCAACAGCGGCACCTTGCGCCGCTCCTCATCCACGCGTTCCGGAGGCAATTCGCCCACCTCATATGTTGCCCTGATGCGGAAACAAAAGGCCACGGTCTGGTGTGACCGAGCCCAGTACGAAGACCCACGCATGCTCGCACAGCAACGGCAGGCCAAGATGCGCGCAAACATGGAGGTCGCAGGCGGGCCACACCACGTTCCCCCGCGGAGTGCGTCGGGAGGGTCCAGCATGGCAGGCGGCGTGCGATCCAAGATTGGCCGTCACCACGGCCTGCCAAAAGCGTCACTCTACGCACCAGTGACGTATGCTGGATCCGGTGTGCCCATGCGCCTGAGTGCCTCGGAAGTCGACGAGGGCGACGACGAAGACGCAGGCTCGGTCAAGAACGGAGGCCAGTACCACCACCGCACCGGCTCAGGCCGCAGCTCCCTGGGCTCCGGACGCCGCATGTCTTACGCAAACCCCGCCGGCCGCATATCTTCCAACAGCACACCACCGCAGAATTCGGATGGCGAGCTTGGCGATCTCAAAGAAGAGCCTACACCTTCGCCAGCCGAGTACGACGTCAATGCTCCCAACGACAACAGCTACTTTCACAAAACAAAAACAAATCTCAGTACCGGTAGCGGAAGTAGTGGGGAAAGAAACTTTGGCGATGTGGGTCAGATGCCCGCCCCAGGTATGCTGAAGCCGCCCGTGACAGAGAAGAAGGGCAGTAAAGACGATCTGGTGAGAAGAGGAAGTGTGGACGAGAGAACTATGACCATGGGAACGCGCCTCTTTGTTGCAAATCCTGACCTCAGTGACTAGGCATCAAGTATGGGGAGCCGGGCGTGGCTGTTGAGAGGAGGATGGTTACTTTTTTTCTGCGATACCCGAAACAACGATTTTGTTAAGAATATGTTAGGTTCAGTCCAGGTCGGCGAGGTGAGGTTCGTGGAGTAAGCCCGAGCAGAAGGACCGACGCGGAATGATGATCTGTCATGTACGTCCTAAGATCATCATAACAACAAGTAGATAGAACAATAGCTCTTAGTGAAGTTCAATCCAATACAGGGTTACCTTTCGTACCTCTACTCGGTCGCCTATGGTAGTCATACCACCAGAGGAGACCTTGTTCTAACAGGTTATGAGCCCGGTTGCCTAACCCAACGTTATTGTTTTCAAACACCTACCCGAGTCACGAAGGACTCAGATTCAAGAAGGAATCAAAACATCCACCCAAGTCACGAAGGACTTAGATTCAAGAAGGAATCAGAAAAGAAAAGAAGTCGTGTACAACGCGGTTAACACGCAATCACACTTAAATACACCGTCTCTACACCCGAGAACCGATAACGACTGCACCGCCCGCAGAATATCACCCGGATCGCCCGCATCGCCCGCATCGCCTGTATCGCCCGCATCGCCCGCATCACCTACACTCTTAGCATCATACCACGTACCTTGCTCGCATAATAGTCTCACCAACTCAAAACACACAAGATGGCTGTAGAGAAGGAAGAATGGAAGATTCCCCAACTTACAGCTGAAAACCACGATACTTGGTTCCGCCGAAACAAGGTCAAGCTTAAGGGGAAGAAAGTCTTCTATGTCTGCGAGAAAAACCTGGTACAGCACTGCCAAATAGCAATAGCCGGTGAACTAACGGAGGCTATGGAAGAGTTGGAAATTGCTGAAGCAGACAAGCATACTAAGATCCGCGTCAACATTGAAAAAAGAGACAAGTACCTAGAAGATGAAGCCACTGCAATCGATCTCTTGTTTCGGTCGCTTACTGAAGATGACCAAGCCCTTATTGACGAATACGACACTGCCTTCCAGTTCTGGGCCTACCTACAAAAGAAGTACACCCAAACTGACGCCACAACCGCCAACATTTACATGACCAGAATTCAAACGTTCACATTCAATCCTGGGAACACAATTGTTGGATCATGGGAAAAGCTAAAGGAATACCGACGCAAACTCGTAGCAGCAGACGCTGACACCAACGGAGCTTACAAGGACTCTGCACTACTACTCGTTCTTATTAGATCACTCCCGAAAGAATTTAAGACTACGATTGACACCTTAAACGCCCAACTTAACCTTACGGTTGAACAGAAACTTAAGTTTCTGGAAGAGAAGGAGGTTCGAGACCAGCAAGACGCCGACGAAAAAGCTCTCCCAGCATTCCGGAAGACGGAGAAGTATGTTCCGCCTTACAAGCGCCGAAATCACAAGAGCTCACCACTATCGTCTGACTCCGAATCTGGTACTAAGTTTATGGTCCAATGCTTCCTTTGTGACGGAGCCCATGGCGTACGAGACTGTCCAAGACGTGAGAGAGCTCGAAAGCTCCTTAAGGAATACGACGCTAAGAAATCATCTAAGCCGCCTATTAAGACACTCAAGCAAAGGAATTCTCACAAAAAGACTGGCAAAGCATATGGAGCCGAAGAAGTCAATTCAGAGTCAGATGAATTATCCGAGACCTCAGACTCTGAACCCGAGGAAATTGAGACATGCCGTCTCTCAAAAGACATTGTCGGTAAGGCCTCTCCATCTACTTGGGCTGCCGACACTGGCGCCTCCTCCCACATGTCTGACCAACCCTCATTGTTTAGACGAATGATCAAGATCAAGCGAAGACTAGTTCGGGTTGGAGGGGGAGAATTATATGCAGACTGGAAAGGAGAAGCTCAAGTGGTGTGTAAAGACGGATCGTCGACATGGTTGTCAGAAGTACTGCTTGTACCTAACCTTGGAGTCAATTTGTTATCAGGGAGAAGAATTTGCGCAGCAGGCCTGAAGGGTCGTTTCAATTCACACGTACTATGCTTCAAACTAGGAAAGGAGATCATTATTAAAGCAACTATGGACGACGGCCTCTACGTAGTGTCACACATTGCCGATGGATACCACGAGACAGCATTCCTAGGCACGGAACCCCATACACCAGTTAAGAGCGAGCTTAAGGTTAATGAAAAGGAGAGATACCTGCTGTATCACAGACGTTTCGCACACCTAGGACCTACAAAGATTGCCAAACTCCACGAAGTTACAACTCTCCAGAAGAAGATTCAAGTTCCAGAGAAGATTGAAATCTGCGAAGTGTGTTCCCTGACAAAGATGAAGAACAGCATCCCTAAGCAGCTAAGAGAGCACAAGGCCACGAAGCTAGCCTTAGTACAGTTTGACATTGCTGGACCCTTTCCAACATCTCTACGAGGAAACAGGTGGTTCCTCCAAATTATTGATAGCTACACGCGGAAAAACTGGGTTATCCCGCTGAAGAAAAAGGGAGACGCACAACGGGAACTCCGAATCTGGAAGACCTTTGTAGAACATCAAACTGGCGAGAAAGTCAAAGCTGCTGGAACCGACAATGCACCAGAACTTCTACAGCAAGCTGAGGAATGGAGAGTTACACAAGGCGTGGAAATTCAGCCTACAACAATTGCTTCCTCACACCAGAATGGACCAGCCGAGCGAAACATCCAAACTGCTGAAGCTGATATGAGAGCAATGTTGAAAGACGCTGGTTTACCAATTGAGTTTTGGGATGAAGCTGTCGAAGCAGACGCATACCTACGCAACCGTACAAACACAGGACCTATGATCAATGGAAAGCAAGTCAGTCCTGAAGAGGCATTCACAGGAACGAAACCATCCATTGACCACATCCGTGTATGGGGGAGCAAATGCTATTCGTACATCAACCCTAAAACGATTCCAGCAGACCAACGACATGACAAGCTCGTGGACCGTGGCAGAATTGGAGTATTTATGGGATATTCTGAGACAACAAATAAGCAGTTCAAGTTCTATTCGCCAGAGCTTGGATACACCTCAAGGACAAGCCGATTGTCAGTGGACGAATACACCCCTGGAGGGAAAGTTGAACTACGACTGCGAAACATACCAGCTGGACCACAAGGAACGCAGAATACGATGCCAGACCGAAAACCAAGAGGAAGACCTAGGAAGGATCTAGAATTATCTCCTGCCGAACGAATGGAACCAACTCCTACCGAACGAATGGAACCATCTCCTGCAGAACCAATGGAACCATCTCCTACCGAACCAATGGAACCATCTCCTGCAGAACCAATAGAACCAGTTTCCGAGAACCTAATGGAACCATCTTCGGCAGAGCTAACTCATGAACCAGTGAAGCGTCACAGAGGAAGACCAAGGAGGCTAACTACTATTCCTCCTACTGCACCATCTGATGAGCGGGTTCCTAATCTTGTGAACGAAGAGGGGCCCGAAGAACCGTGTACCCAGTCTGTACGAGAAAAGGAGATTCCACGATACTTCACTAGACAAGCCAAACGGAAGAGGTCTAACGAAGAGATTGTTGAGGACGAGAGATTTAGCAAGATCGTTAAAGCTATGCTAGCCCAAGTTGGCCTTACAGAAGAGCAAACACGACTATCTGAGAAGGCTTTCGCAGCAACCGAGATCGCAGGAATCCAGATCCCCCAGACACACGAGCAAGCTATCAACGACCCAAAGTATGGAAAGCAATGGAAAGCAGCAATACTTGAAGAGATAATCGCGTTAATAGAGAATGTGAACGGTCTGTAGGAACTGTATTCCAGCTACCTAGTCCAGATGCTATTTACAGTCAAGATGAAGAAAGAAGGTAAGACGCGAGCGGCGAGCCCGCTTTGTTTGGGTTGGCGCACGGCCCTCTCGTTGCCGGGGAAGCGACTAGGCTCGCAGCCTAGTCATGTGACTTAGGGCTCAGCCCGTTACATTACCCCCCTCCTTTCCCTTTAGCGTGTAGTTTTTTCCATTTCTTCCAAGCGTCAGTCTTTAGTACGTTGCTCACTGGTTCCCATGTCGGTTCAGTATAGTCCACCCACTTCACATATGCCTCCTTGATTCCTTTCCCTCCTTGCCCTATTGTCCGTTCGCCCAGAATACGCTCAACCAGCCATAACTCGTCTCCATCTATAAGTATAGGCCCTGGCTGAGTGTCTCCAACTTTCTGCGATGGGAAAGAGTCGTCAGGCGCGTAGCGAAGCAGGTCTACGTGAAAGACAGGATGGATTTTTCCCGGAACGTCAAGCTTATAAGAGTGGGAGTTGACCTGCTTCAAGACTTTATACTTTCCATGCAACCAGTCTAGCTTCTTGGAAGGTCGTGTTGTCTTCACGTTTCTAAGGTTTAGAAACACCCAGTCTCCCTCCTTGTATTGGGGCGCTGCTGTTCTTGTCTTATTAGCCTGATGCTGCTGTTTCTCTTGTGTCATCGCGATCGCGGCTTGGGCCCACTCTGTTGCATCTTGGAGTCTTTTGAGGAAGCCTTTTGCTAGTGCTTCGCCATCTTTCTTTGGTCGGTCCTGAATAGTTCGATCCTCTACTAGCTGAATAGGTTCATTGTGATATCCGTGCATGAAATAGAAGGGGCTTAGGCCAGTGGATGAGGCCTCGCGGTTGTTGATTGCTCCCATAACGACAGGTAAAAGTGCCAGCCAGTTTTCTTGCGTGTACGTGGCCCAGATTCGAATCATCTTTTCAATCTCTTGATTCATTCGTTCTGTTGCACCATCGGTTTGCGGATGGTAGGCAGTCGACAGGCGTTGCTCAACGCTAAGGAGCTTACAGAAATGCTTCCAAAGATCGCTAACGAATTGTGGTCCTCTATCGCTCGTAATTGCCGTTGGAATACCGTGAATAGGATAATGCCGTTCGAAAAGTCGTTGTGCTACGGCTTGTGCCGAGATATCGTGCATACCTTCTAGTTCAATTCCCTTTGTCAGCCGATCAGTGACCACCATACAGTTCGTTGCGTTATCCCGTCCAGATGGCGGCAAG